CTGATGGAAAGTACGTAGGAGCGACCAAACAACAACTGCGCACCAGAATGAACGCACACCGGAAATCTATCAAAGACAGAAATACCCAATTACCTGTGGGGGCACATTTCTCACAGGAGGGCCACTCTCTCTCCAATCTCTCAGTCCTGATCCTCAAAGGAAACTTACAAAACACTTCCCAGAGACGAGCCTATGAACTCCACTTCATCAACCTCCTGGATACTAAAAATCATAAACTAAATATAGACATTGTTTTTATGATACATTATAACCTGCCTGACATCTGACTCCCCAGGTATCTCTACATTATTCATCCCCCTTCTCTCTTCCCCGCCTCCGCGCCCTCCCCCCCAGCCTGTCTTTCACCCATTGACTCCTCAGTCTACATTTTCACTGACTACCTGTCTTGTATGCATATCAGACCAGTCTCTGGCTTCTTTACTTTTCATTCCATCCAGGAAGAGCACACACCAACTGCTGAAATGTCCTCTGCCTGACAAAGGGTTTTTGAACCTGAAAGCTTGCTTAAAAATTGTTCTCCAACTATTTAAGTTGGTCTAATAAAAAATAATCAAGTAATATTCACCCCAGGTGCGATCCCCTTCCCGACTGTGTTTATTAAGTAATTAACTTTTCCCTGTCCCTGACCTGACTACTTGCAACTTAGTAACATCAAAGGAACAGGGCTGTCTTCGCCCTGTTACAAAGTTGATTAAATTCAGCCAGCACTGAGGGTAACTGTAAAGTACATGGGCCATAATGTGCAAATATACGGATGGGAAACTTTCTTTTCTAGTATGTGTGGCCTTTAAAAACAAAAAAACAAAAAAAAACAGGTGGGTGTTCCCTCCACAGGAAACTGGCATTGGGCCTGGAGGTACTGCGATACCAGGCCAGCACTGGAAGGACCAATGCCAGCCCTGACACTTTCCCCTTGGTGCCAAAAATCCTACATGTGATCTTAGCCAAAAAGGCTGAGAGGCTGATAGGAACCTACCACATGTTTGTTTGTTTGTTTTTTCTGGAAAATTTTTCATGTTTCAAGTCAAATTGGACAAATCATTTCCAAATCCATGAGTCATGTAAGAACTAAATAGGGGGCAAAAAGAAGGTACCCGGTAACGTGGGGCCTCTGCAAGACACGCTAGGAAATCCGGTTGTTGCACCAGACGACAAAGCTAACCTATTTAATGATTTCTTTACCTCCATTTCCTGAGCAGGGACCAGATCAACCCGTCTGCCAGGACCCCCTCAGGCCCTAGGGGAGGCACACCCAGGCCTAGGGTCAGTGAGGATCTAGTCAGGGAACTTCTGAAGGGACTGGACATATTTAAATCAGCTGGTCCTGATGACCTCCACCCCAGAGTGCTGAGGGAATTAGCAGAGGTCATTGTGGGACCCCTGGCACGGCTCTACGAGCACTCATGGTGCTCTGCTGTGATCCCAGAGGACTGGAAAAGGGCCAGTGTGGTTCCCACTTTCAAAAAAGGGAGGAAGGAAGACCCAGGGAACTATAGGCCAGTTAGTCTTACCTCAATCCTGGGTAAGCTTTTTGAGAGAATTATCCTGGCGCATGTCCACAAGGGGCCAGCAGGGCAGGTTATGCTTAGGGGTAACCAACATGGGTTCATCAGAGGCAGGTCCTGTCAGACCAACTTGGTGGCCTTCTATGACCAGGTCACAAAATCCTTAGACTCGGGGGTAGGAGTGGACATAGTCTTTCTGGACTTCAGGAAAGCCTTTGACACTGTCTCTCACCCCATTCCCATTAAAAAACTAGGGGACTCTGGTGTCGGCACCTACACAGTCAAATGGGTCACTAACTGGCTGGAGGGCTGCACCCAGAGTGGTGGTGGACTCATTTTCGACCTGGAGGGATGTGGGCAGTGGGGTTCCGCAGGGCTCGGTCCTTGGACCCGCGCTGTTCAGCGTCTTCATCAGTGACTTGGACGAGGGGGTAAAAAGCACCCTATTCAAATTTGCTGATGACACTAAGATGTGAGGGGCTGTGGGCACACTAGAAGGGAGGAATAGGCTGCAATTGGACCTAGACAGGTTACAGGGGTGGGCAGATGAGAACAGGATGGGTTTCAACACTGCCAAGTGCAAGGTACTGCACCTGGGGAGGAAGAACCAGCAGCATACCTACAGGCTGGGAAACTCCCTTCTCGTCAGTGCAGAGGCAGAAAAGGATCTTGGAGTCATTATTGATGCCAAAATGAACATGGGCCGACAGTGTGGGGACGCGGTCAGGAAGGCCAACAGTACCTTGTCATGCATCCACAGATGCATCTTGTGCACGTCCAAGGAGGTGATCCTCCCCATCTATGTGGCTCTGTTCAGGCTACAGTTGGAGTACTGTGTCCAGTTCTGGGCGCTGCACTTCAGGAGTGATATGGACAGCATTGAGAGGGTTTAGATGAGGGCCACCTGCACGATCAGGGGCAGTAGGTCAGGCCCTACAAAGAGAGGCTATGGGACCTGAACCTGTTCAGCCTCCACAAGAGAAGGCTGAGGGGGGATCTAGTGGCCTGTTACAAACTAGTCAGAGGGGACCAGCAGGTATTGTGGGGGGGTCCCTGTTCCCCCGAGCACTACCAGGAGTGACTAGAAATAACGGTCACAAGCTGGCAGAGGGTAGATTCAGACTAGACATCAGGAGGCGCTACTTCACAGTCAGGGTGGCTGGGATCTGGAACCAACTTCCAAGAGAAGTGGTGCTCGCTCCTACCCTGGGGGTCTTTAAGAGGAGGCTAGACAAACACCCTGCTGGGATCGTTTGACCCCAGTGCTCTTTCCTGCGATGGCAGGGGGTTGGACTTGATGATCTGTCAAGGTCCCTTCCGATCCTACAAACTATGAAACGATAAATGTGGCCCTACTACCGGCAAACATTCTCCACCTCCGCCTGGGGGTTCAGATGCTTCCAAATCCTTTGGTAGGCATCCTACGTGCAAGCCCAAGCCCAAAAGCTTGGGGTTCGGATGCCCCCAAGTTTGGCTTGCTCTTAGCCAGATGGCCACAGGAGCAAACTAGGGGGGAGTCTCCCATTTCCATGAAGTCAGCGTGTGGCCAAGATCCTCCTACTGGAAGTTGGCCAGCAAGAAGCTAACTGTGGAGGCTCTCGAGTCCTTTTTGCAAGCAGACACGGGTGCAACCCGCCACTATACTGCGTTATCTCAGTCATGGTATTTCCCCACAAGGAAAGACCAATGCAGCCCATCTGAATAAGATATATGTTAGTGCCCATTGTGCTCAGTCCCCTTCAGCAACAACTTTTTCAAGTCATGGTGAGTCTACATTCGAATATTTTTCACAGCTTTTTTACTCCCACAGCTGATGTGTGCCTTTCTTTCCCATGCCCAATAATTCCTGTTTCTTTACCAGCTTTAAATATCTAGCAAACATCACCAAATGGGACTCCAAATAGTTCACTGAGAATCCCTTTGTTGCCCCGTCTCTCAGCCTATCGCATGTGATTAGTGTGGCCCTTCCCTCCATGAGGTGGAATCAGAACAGGCTGCCCTGCACCTCACTTGCATATACATCTTGGAAGGATTCCAGGACTCATGACAAGAATACCCAGTTCCAGTCACAAGTGGGGGTGCAATTAGCAAATGAATACTTTGTTGTGGTGGGAGTTGTATCTGGAGTACTTGTACAGTCTGAGCACTGCTGAGCTGTGGGGTCACCATGGCTTGAAAAGCTGTTGATTTGCTGGGAACTAGCTGATTTTGCCAACTATTTAGCTAGTCTAATAAAAGATATCACATTTACCCAAAGAATCTTGTCTGTCAGTGGCAAATCATGAGCCTTTTGGCTTTGAACCAATATAATGTTTAGTTCATATTTTCTATAAGTAGGTATAAAAGTATGTTTGTGGAGTATCTGTGCAAAAACTTGCATCAGTTTAAAAAACAAAGATAAAATGCATCAGTTCATCAGTCAGCATTTTCAGATTTGCTCTCCCTGAGCACATGGAAATGAAGAGCAGGCTCTGACAGTTGGGGGGCTGAAGTGGGGACAAGAGGTGCTGCAGGAGGAAGAAGTGGGGGCGGGGAATATGTGCTAGGGGGCCACCTCCCCCTAGATTTATTTTTGGTGCTGTAGCAGTAGGAGGGGAACAAAATCAAGGCAAACCCCCAATAATGTGATTCTATGCCTGGAACATTTTTAGCAAATTTATACGTTTTCCTTATATAGGATCTAATTCCTGGGACATCATCTTATAATCAGGGTAGTCTTATGTTCAAGTAAATACAGTAATTGAAAAAAAGTTCACTAATATCAATGTATTATTAGTCAAAATATTCAGCCTCTGTAAAACATTTTACATTTTTAAATCAAAATATATTCATTTTACTGTTACTAGTACTCTCTACTACTATTAAAGAGTGAAATTTCAGTCACTTAGAAATACATTTAAGAAATTGTATCTGCATCAGAGCTTGTTCCACTACAATCTAGACAGCTCTGTAGGGTAACTTGGTCCATGCATTTTACAAGACAACCTTTTGATGAAAGGTTCCTCTTGAATGCAGTTTTGGTCAGGCTGTCTGGTAGTCATGGTCTCCTAGTATCTGCTTTCAGATATACAGACACCTGCTTGCTAATCATCAAGGATCTAGTCTACATTGATATCACACAGGAAAAAAAGGGAATGGTTACTTACCCCATAGAAACTATAGTTCTTAGAGATATGCTGCTTTCATGAATCTGTCTTCTTCCCCAATGTTGCAGAGGTCTTCAGAATTTGATATTGTTGAAGGAATTGAGGTACAGTTGGGCCCACTGAGTCCTTTTTGCCTGTAGGTGGGAGGCACAAGGACCTTAAGAAGATGGGTGGGGTGCCACAGAATCCAGTCTTGCAACCAGGGGAGTCATGTTCTTCAAGATTTATTTCACTGTGGGTGACCAAGTTATTGGAAAGTAACTCTTTTTCTCATGTATATATTTTCTCAGTAATATACAAGAGTCATTGAAGACACAGGACTTAGACTCAGCAGCCCAGGATCTCTCAGAACAGATAACTGCTGAACTATTAAATACCTATTCAGAGGATGAATATATCAGAAAAATTCAAAAACGTCTAGAGGAAGACACTTTTGCCCGAGAGCAACGAGAAAAAAGACGACGAAAGATGTTAATGGAACAGCTAATAGCCCATGAAGCACAAGAGGTGAGATACCTGTGCTGCACATTACATAGGGTTATTAATTTGAAAGGGAAAAAACAAAGCAAAACATTGTGCATTAGTTGTACCCCTAACAGCAGACTTTAGATATCAGAATATTTTCAGAACGGCAGGGAGATTTGAACTTCTTGTTAGATATCAGAATATTTTCAGAACGGCAGGGGGATTTGAACTTATTACAGTTGATAAAATGGATAATATCATCCTCGTCTCTCATTTCTTTTTATAAGATGGAAGTGTAGTCATTCTGATTGGCATATATTTTGCTTTTGAATGTATTGGTGTTGGGAACATCAAATGGGAAGTTGCTGATCAGCTGGAACTTCTTATCTCAGATGATACTACTATTTTTGGCAGGTTTAACAAAATCTGTTCACATGTTTTTTTATTATAGGAGTAGACAGGGAAAAAGATCCCTTAAGAACTATCATAGCTCAGTTGATGTCTATAAAGCTAAGATATTTTAAAGTAGGAATAGGTGTAGTCCTTACTTTTCCCTTCAGAATAACAAGAAAAAGTTGAACTAAAACTTCCATAATGTGTTCATTGCAAAATCCTGTATAATACATAAGATTAAGATTGCAAATTATAACCTAGTTAAAGTTCAATCTCACACATGTAATTATTTATTATTGGTTAGGCTTGTAAAAATCTACAAGTGCACATTACTTTTAACATGGCAGAGTTCATATTGAATTTTACCCACAGTACAGAAAGTGAAGTACATGTATAAATCTTTGAAGACAGTCTTTTGCTATTGAAGCCCGAGTTCTGTGTTCTGTTTTTCCCATTTCTTGCTGTTCTTCATAAAACAGCATGTAGTTGTTCTAGTCCCATTTAATTAAAAAAAACAAAAAACACAAATAAAATATGGTAATAAATGTAATGTTTATGGTAATAAATATAGAATTAATGTATTACATCAGACACAGTTATGTGTTTGACCACTGGATGCCACTGTTGTCTCAGATGTAATTTAAAAAGTTTTTTTATGCATTCTCTCTCAAGTAATTACTATTACAAAGCTTTCTCATATTTAAGATCTGAATGTATGTTTTCTATAGTGGTAGTAGGATGTTGTCAGTGCCCTTTTCCTACTGCTTTACTTGTGGTAGGCTCAGTTGTTCTTGGTGTTTTGGGGCAATGTAACCAGTAGATGTGCAATATAGCTGTATGTGTATTTTTTCAGAATAAGTTAAATAGACACTTGTATAGGATGGTTTAGATAGGGATGATCTTGCCTTGGGCATGGGTTTCATAGACATTAGGGCTGGAAGGGACCTCAAAAGATCATCAAGTCTAGCCCCCAGCCCCAGGAAGTCAACTAGGGTCAAGGGATCCCAGCAAGATAAGCATCCAAACTTTTCTTAAAAAGAGTCCAGAGTAGGTGCCTGCACCACCTCTGGAGCAAGTCTATTCCAGACGCTGGGGGCTCGGACAGTAAATAAGTTTTTCCTTATGTCCAGCCAAAAATGGTCTTGGAGGAGTTTGTGACGGTTGGTCCTTGTCATCCCTTGGGGCGCTCTGGTGAACAGGCATTCCCCCAGATCCTGACGCACACCCTGTATGTACTTATAGGCTGCCACCAGGTCACCCCTGAGCCTGTGCTCAGGTTGAGGAGTCCCATGGCTCTCAGCCTCTCTTCATAAGGCCTATTCCCTTGCCCACTGATCATGTGCGTGGCTCTCCTCTGGACTCTCTCAAGCTTCTCCATATCCTTGAATTGTGGAGTCCAGAATTGGATGCAGTACTCCAGCTGCAGCCTCACCAAGGGCGAGTACAGCAGGAGGATGGCATCCTGAGATTTACTTGAGAAGCATCTGTGAATGCAAGCCAGAGTTTTTTTGTTTGCTTTACCAGTTGCAGCATCGCATTGGTGGCTCATGTTCATCTTGCGGTCAGTCATGACCCCCAAGTCTCTTTTGGCCATGGTGCTAGTGAGTGTAGCACTGCCAAGCTTATAATCATGCTGCGGGGTTTTTTTCCCCCTGAGGTGGAGTACCTTCCATTTTTTGGTATTGAACTTCATCAGGTTTATATCCGGTTTATGTCAGGCCTATCCTCAGGTGTGGACACCGTACCCCAAAGTTTAGTGTCATTGGCAAACTTGGCTAGTCCACGTCTGACACCAGTGTCCACATCGTAGATAAAGACATTAAAGAGAACCAGACCAAGGACAGATCCTTGGGGGATGACGTTGGTCACAGAGCACCACAGCGATTCACTTCCGTCGACTACTACTCTCTGGGTCCGACCTCGGATCCAATTCTCCAGCCATCAGACTGTGATGTAGCTGAGGCCACAGTTGGTCAATTTTTCCATAAGGAGATCATGGGACACCAGATCAAAGGCTTTTTCAAAGTCCAGGTATATGATGTCAATCACTTCTCCCTTGTCCAGGTGATGTGTCACTTGGTCATAGGAGGAGATGAAATTGGTCACGCAAGACCTACCCACAACAAACCTGTGCTGGCTGTTCCTCAGAATGTTGCCATCAGCCAGCTTGTCAAGAATGGTCTCTCTGATAATTTTTTCCAGAATCTTACCGGAGATCGAGGTCAAACTGATTGGCCTGTATGTCTCTGGATCTACTTTCCTCCCTTTTTTGAGGATAGGTACCACACTGGCCTTCTTCCAAACTTCAGGTACTTCACCTGAGCATCACAATTTTTCGAATATTTTTGCCAATGTTTGGGCTATGACACCTGCTAGCTCCTTATGTACTCTGGGGTACAATCTGTTAGGCCCCGCTGACTTGAAGGTGTCCAGCCTCTCAAGGTGTTTCTTTACAAGGCCTACACCAATGCTGGGTATAAATTCACCCTCACCCTGGCCATCCCACATCATGCTAGGTGGGGTGGTCCCTTTGGGCTGATGAAAAACCGACGCGAAGTACCTATTAAGTAGGTTGGCTTTTTACTGGGTGTCAACTATCAGTTGTCCCATTTGGTTTAACAGGGGTCCAATGTTACCCTTGCTTTTCTTCCGACTCTCCACATATTTGAAAAAGGACTTTTTATTGTCCTTGATATGTGTAGCTAGCTGAAGTTTGGTTGCAGCCTTAGCTTTCCTGGTTCGCTCCTTACAAGTACGGACCAGTACAGAATACTCCTCCTTGGTGGTGATTCTAGTCTTTCATCCTTTATAAACCTCTCTTTTTAGGCATAGGAGGCCCATGAGTTCCCTGCTGAGCCAAGGGGGTTGCTGTGCCCTTTTGCTACCTTCCTCCGAGATGGGATGGACATCCCTTCTGCTGTCAAGATCGCTCCCTTAAGGAGCAGCCACTCCTCTTGAACTCTCCCTGTCAAGTCATGGCCCCTTAGTGCCTTGAAAACAAGCCTCCTGAGCTTATCAAAATCAGCTTTCCTAAAGTCGAGGACTTCTGCATTGCTGACTGACTTTTTAGCTTTGCAACGGGTAGTAAAAGTGATCAGCTTGTGGTCACTGTCTCCCAGCTTTCCTACGATTCTTAGGTTGCTGACTAGATCATCCCCTCCAGCCAGTACCAGGTCCAGCAACGCTTTACCTCTTGTTGGTCCATAGATTTATTGAGTCAGGCAGAGCTTGTCCATGTACATGAGGAAGCTTTGTCACCTTTCAGATTTGGCTGAGTACTCTTCCCATGAGATGTCTGGGTAGTTGAAGTCTCCCATGACACTCATGCACTGCGAGTGTGCAGCCTCAGCCACTTCCTTGGCAAACCTGGTGTGGTCTTTTTCCTGGTTAGGAGGGCTATAGTAGACTCCTATCATTGTCCCCTGTGCCACATTCCCCACGTATTTTAACTCAGAGGGACTCCAGTCATCCTCCCCGAGTGCTAATGTCAACTTAGAGGCTCCTTGACAGAGAGAGCTACACCCCCACCCCTTTTATCAGCATGATCTCTCCTGTACAGGGTATAGCCATCTATACCTGTGGCCCAGTCATAGGTGGAGTCCCACCAGGTTGGATTAGATGACCTTCTGAGGTCCCTAACAGACTGACTATTCTATGATTCTGTTATCTTGTTAACTGCCGTAACATTTCCTTCTCTGAGAAGACTTAAATGGAAGGGTTCTTTTCATTAAATATTGTTGCACTTTCATCCAGGTGCTGAATGACAACTTCCAAGTAAGATGCTCTGGTTTCATTTTTAAGGCAGGTTCCAAATATTTTCATCATTTTTCCTGGATAATTTCAGAATTAGGGTGTTATTGAACTCTCAGCATTAGCTATTTGTTGATTCTTTGGATTATCACAGTGCAGTTTCTATTTATTGTGTTTAAACAAGAAGCCTGTTGAAACTTCATTGGAAAATGCCCTTTTCAAAGACATGTTGCCCAGATTCCTGCATTTTTGGGTTAGAACTTGTCTACATTTGAACACACACACACACACACACACACACACACACACACACACCCCCCCCCCTCCTGTTCCTATACAGCCAGCAGTTCTCAGTTTGGGATTGTAGAGACTGTCCTAGAAGAAAGATGTCCAAAGCTTCAGTTAGCCCATTAGAGCTAAAAGGCAAACTGATGGCAGAGTACAGACAGTCAAAAAGCTCGAGGCCGAATTGATGTAGCTGTTGCAGGTTAGTCTAAACTGCACAGATGAAACTGAAACAGAAGTGAACAGACATTTACATTTGATTCAGGAAGCACAGTGGTTCAGGCCAGAAGCTGGGAGGCACTAGAGCACAGCTTTCTGGCATGTAGTCAGCATGGGCTTTTTGGTTGCTTTCTCTTCCTGCTGCCCCTGAGGTCTCTGGGATTTGCAGTCCACAATCACAGAAGCAGGACTCTGCAGAGTTGCTCATCACTTCAAATCCTAGGGGCACCTGAAAGCAGGAAGAGGAAGTCCACAGTTACAGCCAGCAGTAACTTTCAGCAGGTTTAGCAGGGTAGGGCAGCTCTGTACTTGGGGGCAGTGGGGCTGAACCAGGGAAAAGGAGAGTTAACACCCCTTTCTGGCCCCAGACCCTAGCCAGGGTTTGCCTGGGGGACCAATCCTTGCCCCCCCACCCCACCCCTTCTCTGCTGGAGCAGCCCAGCCCAGCTCAGGACTGGAAAGCATGATGGGATGCTGGGGGACTGCGATTTAACTTGAACCAGGAAGGGGTCTGGGACAGAAGTTTCATAAACCAGTTTGACCCAAATCAGTTAAGTCTGATACTACATTCAACCAGGTTTATCTTAAACCAGTTTCAGCCATTTTGAAACTGGTTTATGTGCACTGAACGTATGTTCTGTTACAGGTTTAAACCAGTTTCTGATCATTTAAGCCTGTTTATGTGTAGCTTCTGTCCCTAGTCATGGAGCCAAACTTTTTTTTATTTTTGATAGACCGAAGAATCTCACAATTTCATAAGCAGGTAACTGCAAGGGTTACATTGCTTCTTTATGAGAGTTAGACAACATACAGTGGAAAGTTACAGGCTTTAGTTTATTTCTCTGACTGTTCGGTCTAGTTCATACTTGACTAGAGCAATGGATACCTCTATAGCATGCTTTAGACACATTCCAGTTGCTGAGATCCCTAGGGCTGCAACATGGAGCTCTCTCTATATATATGCTTTCAAAACAATGTTCCTTAGACTAGTAGTTTGAGCTCATGATCAATTAGATACTGGTTAGTAGGGCAATACTCCTAAATCATCATCAAGTTATAATTGCAAGTCTCCTTTCTTTTACAGGTACTGTTTGTCAGACTATCCCGGGAGTGGGAGTATGCAGGGAACACTAAGATGAAATAAAGAACTTTACTTGAAGTTCTTTGAGATGAACTCTGCATATTCCCATAGCTCACTCATGTTTCCACCTTTCTCAAACTCTTAATGGAAGCTTGACTCTAAAGAAGAAGTGAAAAGAATATATGTATCAAAGAGCAACATGCCTCTTTGAAAACCACCCCTTGAGAACACTAGAAAAGCACCCTGGAGAGGCATAGGATGGTTACAGGTTTCCCTCGATTTATGCGGGTTCTGTATATGCAAATTCACTGTTATGCAAGGACTCTTTTTATACCCCAAATTCATCATATGCGAGGTAAATTCACTCTTACGTGGTTGACTCCAGGGCTCCACTTGTCCCCACTCAATTCTACCCCTGGGCTGTGCCGTACCGTGGTGCAGGCAGGTGGTATTGGCTGCTCCTGGGGCCGCTGAAGCAGGGGCTGGGGTGAGTGGGGAGAAGCAGAGGCCCGAGACATAGCAAGGTAAGTCTGTAGGGGAAGAGGCAGGGGGAGGGGTGTGGCACAGCCCGTTGGCTACTCTCGGGGCTGCAGCAGGGAACAAAGCAGGGGAAACTGAGTGGGTGCAGAGCGTGGGATGGGTGGGACACAGCTCTTGCTGCTACGCGCACCACAGGAGGGCCGTGGGCTTGGGGGCTGCGCCGCACTCTTCCCAGGGGCCGTGTGCCTCCAGATCTGCATGTGGGAGGATAGCAGGCTGCTGCTGCAAACTGGGGCCAGCAGCAGCACCAGACTCTTCCCAGCGCTTGGTGGCGGTGCTCAGAGGGCAGGTTGGGGTGGGGGGCCACAGCAAATTTTGGGGTGGGAGCAGCTCCCCTTCCATTGCTGCTGCTCACCCCGAGCGCCGGGAAGACCCCGGTGCCATCTCTGGCCCCTGCTGGAAGTGGCAGCCTGCTGTCCTCTTGTGCACAGATCCAGGGGCATGCACCCCCTGGGAAGAGCCTGGTGCAACCCACCAGCCCGCAGCCCTCCTGGGGTGCACGTAGCAGCAAGAGCTGTGCCCCACCATCCCATGCCCTGTACCCACTCAGTTTCCTCTGCTTTGCTCTCTGCTGCAGCCCCGGGAATGGCCAACGGGCTGCGTCCTTCCCCCCGCCCTTTCCCTAGTCTCCGCCTTACTTCCTCCCTCCCGAACATATCCCTATTTGTAACCTTATAAACTGGGTTCCCTTATGCAAATTTGATTTATGCATGCTTTTCCTTGAATGCATATAGAGGGAAGCCTGTATTTGACCACCTTGGTGGAAGCACCTACTGCAGTGCCCTCTATCTGAGCTATATGGATAGCTGTATAGGACACCCCAGGAGTGTGATTTGATAGATTCCATCTCAAAGATGTGGAAACGATTGGATTTTCTTGTGCATTTTGTACTTGCATATAGAAATAACCCTGTGTGTGCAAACAAAGTATGTATCCAAATTTAGATCCTGATCCTGTATGAAATTCCTGTGGACAGAACCATATGTCCATGTGGAGCTCATTCAAAGGTTAGGGCCTCAGAAACTGGCTTGATTCCTAATTGAAACATTTGCCCTTAGAAGGATAGAGCTCTAAATCCTCTTAGTAAATGTGTTGTTTGTAGTACTGCAAAGATGTCAGATCTGCTACAAAAAAAGTTCCCGTTTCAAACAGGCACTTCTCTAGAACACTTACCTTTTGGTAGAACCATATGTAATGCATGCATAAGTACATGTAGCGCTACAGGGAATCTCTCAGACCCCAGTATCCTAGAGTGCTTTGTTCTCCCTAGAATGTGGTCTAGTACCATAATTTTTAACATAAATGTTTGAGATGAATTTATATAATGTGTTATGCTTCAGGTTGTAACATGTGACCAGTGAACACAACCCCAGGCTTACATGGGATGGAGAGCATTGTCAATGTAGTGCTGCTATTTTTTTTCCCCCCTTCTGCTTCGGTTTGGACAGTAATTTACCAAGCTGTGGCTGAATTATTTAGGAAAATTTTAGCCAAAAATGTCTAGTCATTTCCAAAAATAAGGCTCAAGGAAAAATGCTTTGTTTTCCCTTGTTTAAAAAAAAGATGGTAATAATTTCTTTGCTAAAGTCTAGTACCCACATGCTTTAAGAAAGAAACTTGAAAATTAACAATAAAACATTTCTGCCTGTTATTTACATGAAAATCTGCCGGTTTGGCAAAGTTATACACTTTTCAAAAAGTGCATCATAAGCTGTGAAGCTCTATTTTGTGTGTACCGAGCATAATGCCTCAACAATTCTGTCACAGTAGTCATGCTTCAGCCCTGGAGTGATTAGGATTTTTCCTGAAATTGCAGTTCTCAGTTGCTGTCCACTGTGCTATGTCCAGGTGGGGCCCTGCCTTTCCTGTGTTTTCAGTGTTCTTCCCCCAGTACCTCCTCTTCCCAGCCCATTCTGACACCAGTGGGCCCAGAAAGGATGGGGAAGAAAGCTGTTTGAATCAAAAACAAGGGGACAGAGCCTAGATCTGGGAGCATGTGTGGAGGGGAAGAAAATTAGGTTAGAAAATTAGAGGGGAACATGGCTAATAGGACTGCAAGCTACTGTGGGAGATCAGGGTGGTGGTGGGGTGGGAACTGGGTCTGGCCATATCTGTGTGTCTATAAATAACTATTTGAATTGAATACAACTTTCTCTTTGGATATAGAATCTTTTTTTTAGGTAGCGCTTAATAATTTTTCTTTAAAGTACCTTAGTTGAAAGGTGTTTAGAAACGTTTAAAGTTTACTTATGCTGCTTTACAAGACCAAGTTTACATTGCATTACTGATATCATCATTATAAATAGAAGTGTGTGTGTGTGTGTGTGTGTGTGTGTTAGGTTATGTATCAAATATATATGCTTGATATTGAAAAAGACAGATGAATATTGTCATGCTATTTTGTACAGACTCTTTATATGAGAAAGTAATACGTAGTCTGACACTAATCCGACCAACAAGTTAATCACTATTAGTTCAGCTTACAATGCTTTATCTCTTAGGAGGCTTACCGGGAGGAGCAGCTTATTAATAGATTAATGAGACAGTCCCAGCAAGAGCGGAGGATTGCTGTACAACTCATGCATGTTCGTCATGAAAAAGAAGTATTATGGCAGAACAGAATTTTCAGAGAGAAACAATATGAGGAAAGGCGACTGAAAGAGTTCCAAGAAGCTCTTGACAGAGAGGCGGTAAAAAACTAATTATTCACTGATTTTTCTGTAGAACAGTCTGTCTTACTATTAATAAGATACATAATCCTGTCTTACATGGGGGAGGCCTACTGTACATGTAGTCAATCAGTGCATCACCCACTCTGTCGAATACACTTTCAGACTGTGGCAGGAGCGACATCAGGGTCGCTGTGCTCTCCCCTGTCACCTCCTTTACTGTGCCAAGCTTCTGACTTGCACCCTCCTATTCTCGCCCGCCATGACTTTGATTGTATACAAGTTCTTTATAGGGAGGCTACCTTTCTTTTGCTTGGCTACAGTTCTCCTGCTTCAGGGGTTCTGTGTCCCCAAGCCTTGTGGGCTATGCATGTACAACACTGTCTTGGCCTACACCCCTCTGGTGCTCGGGCCCTTCTCTGCAATGCAGCCCTCTCACAGGGCCCTTCTCTACAATGCAACCTTCTCACAGGGCTCACCGCACTGCTACCCCCTCTTCTGGGGTTTCTCAGCTGCCCTTTTCTGGAGCTGGGGTCTGTATACCCCAAACTCTGTGCCCTCACTGGGGTCCTCACTAGACCATGAGTCCCCTATTAGGCCTCCTCCATCCCCTTCTAGCCTCACCCAAACCACCGGTGTAATCAATAGCAAATACAAACAACAACCTAAACACAAGCCTCTTGGCTATAACGTAAACATAAGCTGCCTGGCTATAACAATCCTCAGGCCTACCGGGTTTTCTCTCCTACCACAGTGACCAATGCTGCTCTGGCATTCAGGTTTTTCCGCACTTCTAGTAGGGAACTCCTTCCTCCTTAGCTGCTGGTCAGGGAACTGCCTCTGGCCTCCTGCCTGTGCTTTATATAGGGGCCAGGCCCTGCCCCTTTCTTCAGCTGGCTAGGCAGGGGTAAGCCATTAGCTACCTTTGGTTGCCTCAGCAACCGGCACCTGAAGGGTTATCCCAGCACTTCTAGTAGCAGGCACCCTAGTGCCCTGCTACACAGACATTAACACTTGTGATTTTCTAGGCTTGAAAATCCAGTGGTAAATATAGTGCCTTTAACTACAAAAATCCAAAATAAAATCTGATTTAAGAAAAAACATCTACATGTGCTATTAACATGCAGCAGTAAACGCTGTTGCACATCATGCTGGAGTTTATTGCTCCTGGGCACTGTATTTGCACATGCGCACAGGACCTCAGCATGTCAAGCCGGGTTGGATCAGCCCTGGCTGGCAGGGAGCCCAGTGGGTCAACCTGCCAGCCCAGGGCTCCTTCTGTCTGGCTCAAATGCTATGGAGGGGCTGGCAAGCTGTGTCAGCTTCTACATGTATAGTGCTGCAAAGTAAAAAAATTCCATAGCAGGATAGTGTTTGTATTTACAAGTACTACCCTGCTGCAGTTAATTAGTTTCCTGCCACCTAATAGGGCCACACATGTAGATGCAAGGACGAAGTGCAGTCAGTCAAAACGCCCGAGGCTGAACTGATTCAATCCTTGCAGGTTTTTTTAAACTGCAGAGATTGAAATAATAACAAGTGAACTGATGTTCACTTTTCAAATAGGAAAGGCAGCCAGACCCCTGCGTTGGCCAATATTAATAGCTGGTAGGTGCTAGAGCACACCTCCCAGTCTACTGGCCACTGCAGAGTGCCTGAGCCCTTTGATTCCCTAAGCCATACCCCCTTCTCAGCCTCCCCACCAGCTAAGCAAGGGGTGAGGAGGGGAAAACCCACCCCTCCCACCCAGCACCAGACCCCCAACTGGGAGCAGCTTAGGGGGGAAAGGGGGAGAGGAAGCTGGAAGTGGAAGCTTTACTCTGCCCTCACATCTCCCCCAGCTGGGAGCCAGGATGGAATCTCCTAGCCCTTCTCAGCCTCCCAGCCCACTGAGGCAGTGGGGGAAGGAAGCCTGCATCTGCGCTTGGCTCTGCCCTCAGAGCTGGGAGCCAGGAACCATGCCCCGTCCTCAGCCTGGCGCTGGCTGAGGGGAGGGGGGTAAGGAAAGCCCGCAGCAGGGGGCTTGCCTCCACCTCCCAAAGCTGGGAGCGGGACTTGAACCCCTTAGCCATGCCCTCGTCTCAGCCTCCAGTCGACTGGGGGGTGTGGGGAAGGCCTCACTGGGGCTTGGCTTCGTCCCCCACAGCTAGAATCCAGGAGCCACGTCCACTCAGCCTCCAGGCTGGATGGTGGGGAAGCCTGCAGTAGGACTTGGCTCCGCCCCCCCAGAGCTGGGAGCCACATCTCTGTCTCAGACAGCCTAAAAGTTGAGAAGGGGGCAGGGCTAGGGGACTCCAGCCCTCCTCCTGGCTCTGGGGGGGCTGAGCTAAGCCCCAGTACAGGCTTCCTCCTCCTCTCAGCCACCTGCGGGGCTGAGAAGGGGGCATGGCTCCCAGCTCCTGGCTCTGGGGGCAGAGTCGACCCCCGCTGCAGACTCCCCCTACTCTCCCCAGGCCAGGAGCACCCGGCTCTGGGTCTGGTTCCCCCCTCCCCCCTCCATGCGACTGGGGGTCTTGTCCTGGACCAGAGAGGTGGGTTTTTCTCCCCCAGCCCATCCTCAGCCACCTGGAAGAGTGATAGTGCTCTGGCTAGGGAGCAGAGGAGCAGACCCTGTTTGTTGGAGCTGACAGTCCAGCCCAAGGCTGCAAAGCATCATGGGGTGCTGGGGTACTGGGTTAATTTGAATTAGAAGGGGATCTGGGATAGAAGTTCCATAAACTGGTTTGATCTAAATCAGTTTAGTCTGATACTACATCTAACCAGATTTATCTTAAACCAGTTTCAGCCATTATGAAAGCAGTTTAAGTGCACCGAACATCTGTTCTGTTACTGGTTTAAATCAGTTTCTGATGACTTAACCTGGCTTATGTGTAACTTCTTTACTGAGGAGCTTATTAGTCTACTCGGCAGTAAATGTCTTTGTAAAGGACAGGAGCTCCCACTGTTATATAGTTTAAAACCTAATTTTGATATATTTTAAAATTATTTTTACTATCCCTGATATTATGACTCCTTTCTAAGAATGAAAGGATTAGTTCGCTGAAGCAAAATGTGGGAGACAATAGCAAAAATCTCTCTTCAAAATCAAGCCTGCAGGTTCCTCTAGGTGTAGAAATTTAATCTTTGTTCTTAGCAAATGCTAGCTGTGGTGGATTTCCACTCCAGGGTTTTAACGCTTCTGGTCTGGAGTTACTAAAGCCGACATTCACCAAAAGAATTTAGAAATCCGTGATTGAAGGGATAGAGTCAGAGGTCTACCTTCCACATCTTGCATCCCTGTGGACATAATACTTGCACTTATGATATGATATGATATGATTTTCTACCAGCTGCCAGCCTTTCTTTTTGCACACTTCTCCCCTAATTAAAAAGCAAACAAACATAATTCTCCCAGCCCTGGAGAAACTGCTTATTCACCATCATTGTGTTCTAAGACTATCTCCTGAAACGACAGTTCCTGCCCACCAGGGGCCACTGTGTCACAGGGACTTGCTGACCCCACTTGCTTCTCCCTTCAGTTTTACCTACAAAGATCTGCTTTCTGTCTTCAGTTAGAGTCTATATAAGTTTTCAAAGGTCAGTCAGTCATAACATTTTTGTATTTAGAGGTCATCATTATTTTCATATTAATTCTCTGAAGCTGATTAAGACCTTGCTATTTATTTACCACACAATGGGTGTCTTGCCCTGCACCCATCAATGCAGCTGGAACTTCACCCAGTTTTCAACATGATTGTTTCTCATAAATATCAAAAATACTCTTTCTGTGTTCTAAAGATAAATGTCCTATTTTCCCAAAAGTCACTAAACAAATTAATATTCTACTTGGTGTGGAAGAAGTAAGTTTTTTCCTATACTGTATCCATTTTACAAAAAGGTGGGAACTTAGAATATGCAAAAACTGTATTCAGAACTGTAGCTATTGCTTGCTATATAAACAATGCTAAAACATATTTTCTATTCTTGTCTTCAGTTGAACCAGTTCTTTTTTTTTCAAGGATTATGCAGATTTTAATCTTTTTTCCCTTTACAAAGTAAAAAGTTTACTTAAAAAAAATCCGTAGGCTCTTGCAAAACAAGAAAAAATTGATTATGAGGAACAGATTCTCAAAGAAAAAGAACTTCACAGGAAAATTGCTGCTGAAATAGTTGAGGCTCGTTATAAAAAACATTATTCAATGTGCCGGGAAGTGATCAACCAAGTTATTGATTTATCAACCAAAACTGGAGAATATCGTTTGTTGACAAACAAGTAAGTATGCTTCAGAAATCAGAGAAAATAATTTTTTTGTTTCTAATATATTTAAGAGAAAAATGTTAATCAGGTACATTATGTTCTCTTTCAAATCACCTGCCTTGTAGTTGTGTTCCATAGCCCCCTCTACACATTACAGGTATCTCGCACTTAACTGATGAATATGTACCTCTGTCTGAGAGTTCATTCTGATGCATAGTTGCTGTTTATTTTCACCCACATAGTTACCTTGAGGGCATTTGGTGCATTGGATCAGATGAATCACATTTTGGGAAAGGCGTATGTAAAATCCATAGATTCCCATGGTTTGTTGTGCAGGAGTGATTGTCGTAGCAGTGGAGACGTGTTGATGGGCTAAGCATCTGTTGTGTTAAGGCTGTGTCCCATTTGAGGTCTATTGAGAGGTGGAGAGTTTGCTTCTCGTGATGAGTCAGGCAAGATTAGGGAGTTGTTTGAAAACCAAGAGCAGAGAGGCCCCTTGCATAATTCCTAGGCCATCTTGGCCATACACTCTAACACTAACTTAACATGTTAGGGCTGCATGGTAGTTTTTCTCACCTGTTTTGCCTTCAGGTGCATTCATGCTTCAGCTTCCACTCACCTCAGTGTACCAGCTTCCCCTTGTTTTCAAGGAGTTGGTGGTTTTCAATTCTGGCCACATCAGATAGTCACATCTCTCTCTCTCTCCCTCTCTCTCTCTCTCAGACAAATAAAAGGTCATAACAAAATGCTTCCATAAGTAAACTTTCATCCATCCTTGGGTATGTGCTTCTTGACTGCAGACATTTCATACCAGCTCTCTGTTCCCAAAGGATCACAGGTTTTCAGAATTGTGTACAGGTTATACCATTAGACTTCTCCATCTATGGTCTAAACCCACAATTCACAATCAGCGTGCTGGGGCACTCTGGGGTGTCTTGAGATCCTGTCAGCAGTGCTGTGAGCACTGTTATGTGTGCAAATGTGATTCACAAATAAACCAAGAGGTTTTAAATAGAAATCTGTAGTATTAAAAGCATTCTGACCTGCTGTGGTCTTTGCAACAGAAAAATGGCTCTATTTTTTCATAGTCAAAATATGAGTGAGAGCTAAGTGCCTGGTTTTTCTGACAGTTGTCTTGAGTCTAAAAAGGTTGAGAACCACTGGTCTAAATAGTCTTTCAACCACACTTGGGACTAACAGTGTTCTATAAGGTAAAAGTGGGGAGCAGGGCTTTATGACATATCAGCTGCTCTGCAATAACTGCCCATGTGCAAGCTCTGGCCCTGTGGTTAGTGGATGGTACCCTGTCTGTTTCAATGATAGCTAAGTTACCGTCATGTGGTTTAGTTTCCACTTATCAGTGGGCATAGGCGGAGAGAGAAAATATTATTTGAGAGACTGAGTATGCGTGCACTTGCATGCACACGCACGCATACCCCTCTGCCCCCCACAGGTAAGTCTGTCTTGGGGAAGGGTTGTGTGGGGGCAGATCGAGGACCCTGCAGTGAGGGGGGAAGTGGAGCAGAGGCAGGGGCTAGGGCGAATGGGGCCCCGGGGCAGGGGCAGGTTGTGGGACGCTTGGAGCCCAGGCAGCTCATCCAGGAGCAGGGGGTGGGGGAGGTTTCCTGCTGCTGCTTGCATCCCTGAGGAGGCTTAGGGGACATGTGGCCCCCAGATCTGTGTGCGGGGCAGAGGCAGGCTGTGCTTTGTGCCCTGCTTAGAAGTGATGCAACACCATGTGCCTGCTATACATGGGGTGCAGAGCCCAGTGGCGGGGATGCACATGGTGTCACTTGGCTGTCAAGGCAGCGGCAGCAGGGCGCAGAGCCCAGCCCACAGCAGCAGCCGCCTATGCCACGCACACAGATTGGGGGCACATGCCCTCCCTTGCCTTCCCCAGAATGCACAGTGGCAGGAGCTCCCCCGCCCCCCTGGATGAGCCGCCCGGGCTCCAAGCATCCCATGACCTGGCCTGGGGCCCCCTTCACCCCAGCCCCTGCCTGCCCCTGCCTCTGCCCCACTCCCTTCTGCACTGTGGGGGGCCTTGATCTGGCCCCCCCAAGACCCTTCCCCTTTACAGAGTGCAGTTAAACTTGCCTGGCTCCTATGCTGAGTAGTAATCTACACTCTGGGGCTGCGATCTTGGCTGCGTGACTGAGCATGTGTGACTCGCCACCCTGCAGCAGCCCAGAGCCTGCAGCCAGTCTGTCCTGCATTGGCGGGGGGGGTGGCAGCTAAGCTCTGTTAGCCCTGGCCTTCTGCTGCCTATGTCAGTGGGTGCGTCTACACGAGTGCCTGACAGCGCAGTTGTTACAGTCCTGGCGCCGCACGGGTCATTTCCAACCCTGCTGCGCAGTAGCAACGGGCTATTGCACAGTGTCACGATTCATGTCTGCCAATGCTACATTGCCATAGCGATGAGCTGCATTGCTGTAGCTTGTCGCTAAGGCAACAGCATCTTGTGTAGACATGCCAACAGAGTAAAAACATGCACTGCCTTTCATTTACCCTGGAACAGCAAAGTTCTGTCCCCTTTGATCTCTCAGTAAACTGTTTCTATGTTTTATACTTTCTGTGAAGTTCTCAATCTTCCTTCGCCTCTACTCGGTTAATAGTCCTTTTCCCATGATGTGCTATGGTGTAGAAAAGTAAAGGAGAACTTTTTCCAACTCTTTTTTTAGAAATATTGGCTTTGAATCTCTAAACAAGGGTTAGTTCTGTCTTCATCACATGCTGCATGTGCTGTCTTGGTCTACAGATCAGTTTGTTACACTTTGGAGCACCTCACCAGGAAGCTGCCATAATTTCTCTCTCTCCCCTTCTATTGGGAAAGGACACAACATGTCCCTCTCCTTCTGCAGTAGGCCTTTCTGTAGTCTGCAGTCACACAATGCCTGCTGGTAATGCAGTGACCAGAACATCCTTCAGAGACCAAAATTGGACACAGGTTAGCTTTTAAAGGCCTGTGATAGCCTGACTAAACTGTAATAGACTGAAATAGTAGCATATCCCTCTGGGGCTTTGATGCTAACATAATTATCCAAATATGAATTTGAATCAGGTTTATGTCACTATCCTTGTAAAGTAGCTTTTAGATGCATACGTTAAGCCATTCAAAGAATGAAAACGTTTATTTGTGGCTTTCTGATAAAAAACTTAAGGGTCAGACTATCATGGCTCAAAAATTAAGCCAGTAAGATTAACACTCAGTTAGGTTGAGTTAGGTGGTGTATCTTTAACTGAACTTCGGAGACCTTGCTTAATAAAAGTGACCACACTTTTAACAAATGCATTGGCTTTGATATGAAATAATAAAGATTACAAAAATAAATTCAGTGTATAATTCCTAATTCACCATCAGAAGATCCTGGTTTTTGGAAGACTCAATCACTGTTTAACAAAAATCCTAATTCTGTCTCCTGGGAGAGATCACTGCTACATAGTTTTAACCAGGATGATGCAACCTCCAGTTTTTGTTGTTCTCTATATACTGAAGTTAACTACTGTATTTTCTTACCTACAACATGCCCCCCCAGAAAGTAATCTGCATCTTGTTTTTGAAAGGCACAATGAAGAAAAAAACATCTTTCCCTGTAGTTAGTAACTGAGTAGCAGTAGCTGTGCAGCTGAATCTGCTCGTTGTACTATTCCCTGTGAATCACTTCAGGTTTTACTTTTGTAGTCACCCAGAAGAGGACCATATTTCTACTACAATTTCCAGAAGCTGGTTTTGGGTAAAAGGTGCATGTTGTAGGTGAGAAAATTTAGTATTTATATTCTAAATGAAAGTGGAGGACAGCTTTTAGACTACTGAAAGCTACATTTTTAAAAATATGGAAATATTGAATGGTTTTGAGACTTCATTGTTCCCCTCTCAGTTTCTCATTTTCCTCTCTCATTTCCTTTTTTCTTCCACTGATCACAGTGCTTTTCATGAGAAACTCAGGAAAATAACTATACAATGAGGCCAGATACAGACATTACACTTTTACCTGTATAAGTGATCAGAAACCAGTCTATACCCATAACAGAACAGAAGTTCGGCTCACACAGATTGGTTTAAAAATGGCAGAACCTGGTTTAAGATGTGCCTCCCTCCTCTCCTGCCCCGCCACCAGCAAAGGGCAAATGAGTGTCTGTTCGCTACTGATCTAAACTGCATCGTGTATAAAAAAAACTGCATAATTTACATGAATTCTGACTTGGGCTTTTTGAATGCCTGTACTTAGACTGAGTGTGCAAATCTCTGCCCTGTGCTTTTAGATTAAACAGGGATCGACATAGCGTATGATCATTAAGAAATAACCGTATAGTTATGATGATGCGTTTGACTTCATAGAAACAATGAGAATTCAGGGAGCTGAATATAGGATGAGGGAAGGGAAAAAAGGAGAATGGTTATGTTCTAGTAACTGTAATTTAATTGCTGAGACCACAGCATGTTTGTGTAATTAGAATGATTAATCTTAAACTGGAAAAACTGAATAATTTGTAAATTTTAAAAGGTGCCCCCATGTTCAAAGAATAAAAGCAAAGCTTGAATCAAGTTACCTGTTAGAGGAGAGAAAACAATTGTGTAGAGAGAAAGTATGGCTCAGTAGCTGTTTGATATGAATTTTATTTCAGTATAGTGATGTTGAAAATATAAATATAACTTAGTGGTGATTTCATTTACAATGTGCACCCATATTTCCAATGTAAATTAGTATAACACATGCATGAGCTGAGCATTGAGTAGTTTACATAGGTGTTTCAAATACATAAGCAGGGCAAGATTTTATCAGCATGCACTGCTACCAAAGGTAAATTTTTGTCAGTATTTCCAAACATTTCATTGTGCAAGATAAAAACAGTATGTATTTAACGCTTAAAGATAATACAAGCAGAGCCCATATATATAGCACAGTGTTCAGTTACCATAGATCTGTAGTTAAAAAGAAAATTCAAATTCATGTGTCGCATCAAAATGATTAGAGTAACTGTAAACAATGTTCTAGAGTTTTGCCGTTTTATGGTCATATAAGCAAGTCCTAGTTGTTACTTAAAATAGAAAGCTACAAGAGAAAGTAACTGCATGTATTTTGACAACAAAACAACTCAACTTCATTTTTACCACATCTGTTGAATATATGCTGCTAGTGGTGTTTTATTTGTTCATCTTGTTTATTGAGCAGTCATGGAATTGTATGTGATGTGTGTTCAGGCCCTGTCTTACCTTTGATAGTAATAATACTCATACAATATTTTTTATTTGTTTTAGCTGGTAATTGTCTATTCATTCCTTTATAGTGGAAACACAGTTAGGTTGAATTACTTTAATATTGGCATGTAAAGTAGGTTTTGTTGGGTAAATTTTGCCCACATATGTCTTGTTGATGCAGAAGGGGTTCTGAGCATGCAACAATGAGAGAGGATTTGATTAAGACATGGTGTATATAGCTCCTCTGGAGTTTAGCATATAGCTCTACAGATCCTTCAATGATGCCTATCCCAAGCAGGCTCGGGGAGGCGGGGGGGATTAGTGGGGAAAAGCAAGCAGTGGAACTGCTTCTACATCATTCAGCCATCCAAACATGGCACATGGATACAATAAAGGTAAAGCCATTGTTTCTGCCACCACCGTGATATCAGCATAGCTGGTTGGGCACCACTTTGCAGTTAATTATTAGAGAGAATTCCATCTAAATCCCACAAGCCGCCTAATGCAGAGCCTGCTTGCTTCATTTATGCACTTGTATCCATAATTCTCTGTTAATTTGGTATAACAGCTAATTTAAATTTGTTTTGATTCTGCAGCCAAATTCCAATTAAACTGATGAGGGATTGGAAAGAATTTTTTTTTAATGGAAAACCACTGTATGCGCGAGCTTTGATTGAACCTCTGCCATCTGAACCAACCGCAGAGCAACTTGTAGAGCTGGATAAAATGAAGTTGCTAGATGAGAAGGATTATGATGAATATAAGGTACACCTAACTGGCAAGCCATAAAGGAAGAAAATGCACCTTGTTTTTTTCAGAACAGCCAACATTTTGCTGTGATGTTATAATACATTTTGTTCTTTTTCAGTTTGAGACAGTGGAACTTAATATACATGTCCATAATTAAACGTGTTTTACATTAACCCCATATTGTTATGAAGTTGTGTGTCACTGGCTTTTGAAAGCTTATGCAACCCTGAAAAATGTAGTCCTGTGGTGTTTGACCTGAAGGACAACAACACATCTCTTACTGCATATGATGCCCATGGTGTTACTCCCAACAGATCAGTTAATTACAACATTATAATTTGTATTTAAAAAGAAATAGAAACATGGCTAACACCACTTCATGGCAGATCATGTAAAAGAATATAGTCAGAAACACAGAGCAAAATAAATGCAGTGCTTGTTAAAAAATCTGGTATATTTTGGATAAATAAATTATTTCCATTAATTTGTGAATATAAAGGAATGTAATGGTTTTTGGTGATCCATTTATTTAAATAAGAAGTAATTCTGAAAGATGGCTGGTATTACTGTTAATATTCTGTAAGAATCCAAATAAGAATTTTTCAGGATTCCATATCTCTTTTTTGTATTTTTAGAGTATAGGTTGTAGTAATACAATTAATGTTTGAAAATGAAATGTTGAAATGCTTCAGTTGAAAAGTACTACTAAATTATTTTCTGGAATTCAGTATTCTCAATTCTCTTCCTTGGAAAAGATACCTTTTATGTCTCGAGGGGCAAGGATTTCTGGGGGCGATATCTTTTATTAGACCAAAAGTTAGACAAACTTGTGAATACAAGACCTTCTTCCTCAGGTCACTGTGCCTGGCTTCCTGTGATCAGAGACCTGAGAGAGAATGTTCTGCATTCAAAAGCTTGGCTAACTTTATCCCAACTACATAGTTGGTCCAAAAAAAGATATCAGCTTAAGAAATTCTTGCCTCTCGCACAATTTTTGGACCATCACAGCTACAACCTCACTCTTATACTACTTTGTTTTGAATTTTTTCTCTTCAGTATAATATGGGGCAATCATTGTAAATAACCTGTCTTTCTACTTTTCTTGTTTGGGAAATGATTACCACACTATATGTTCTTTTTACCCACATCCTGAACCATTTGGTACATTTTCTTTCACAGAGAATAGTAAACTTGTGTTAGGAGTTTGTGGTGAATGTCTGACAGTTCAGATTATTTTCAGCCTTTGTATCTTCTTTAAATGAAAGTAACTTACAAGAATCCTATATATACTGCATTAACAGCTATAGTAACTTGGAAAATAACTCCTCAAGACAGCAAAAAAGTAAATCTACTGGCTGGGGGCCAGAAGGCAACTGGGACTTCCTGAGGATTCCTAGCATATGATAGCATATGGAGTTTCAGTTCACATTCTCATTTTTATTGAATTCCTTTAGCACTATCATGGTCATAATACCTAGGCCTTAAATATGATGCAAATATAATGCCACTTTGCATGGCTGGTAGTGTAAAGGGACATTACTGTAAAGAAAAATCCGGTCTTTTTACTTTTAGCATGCATTGCAATATCTCTAGTCTAGTATGTATGACAGTTTCAGACCATTTCCAATCACTGTTCTGTGCCCAACTTGCAGTTTCCGTATCACAAAAATTCATTCTAGCCATGATAGCACTAAGTTCAAATTAAATATGTATTTTGGTGTATTCTGATACTGCTGCAAAGGTTTTGTCGTTCTATCAGTTCCATAGCAATCTGTGAATTAGGTTAATTGAAAGAACTCTTAAATGACCCTGTTTTAATTTAGATAACAAAGCCAAATCCAGAAATTGTGATGTTTCATCTATTTTTTTTTGTTTTGGTTTTAATGTCATTTGACCGTACAATCATTCAGAGCCAAAGGAGCCAATGTACATTAGACCTTCACCCCAAGACACCTACTTTAATATCCTAACTGGAGTTGCAATCAAATGCAAGTCATCTTATGCCAATTTCCTGTAGTCTCCATTTTCTCCTATTACAAAATGCATAGTTTGACATGATTTTCTTTCTCTTCAAAAGAAGCTAAGGTTTGAAAAACAAAAACTGCTATAAGCCAACATAGAAAGTTTTTGGTAGAGGTATGTGGGGATCTTTTCCACAATACTTGGCTTATCTTATTTTTCCTCCTTCACTTTCATGAGAAAGAGAGAGATAAACTTGGTAATAAGCATAATCTTCCTTTCCTGCCCCTGGGGCCGTGCTAGCCCTCTGACTCTCGGTTCAGTTCTCTTCACTGACATTTCCTCAATTTAGACCTGCTCCTTTAGCTGACTAAACAGCATACCATTCAGTGGAACATTTTCAAATCAAATTTTGGTTACAGACATTTGAACAGAAAATAAACAGAAACAAAACCAGTGCTGATAAAAGGAGTATAGTATAATAGGCTTTTGGTGGGATTGAGAGTCCTGATTCACTGGAGATCCGGTTGCATTTAACTGTTGTTTCAATACTGACTCCCTCTTGGTCACTTAACCCAAAATTTACTTTTGAGCAATCACTGACACAGCTAATATCAAAGCAGAAGTGAATCTGAGAGCATGAAAAAAAATACCTTACTGCTCTTACTGTCTATACCAGATGTGTCAAATTCACTCAACCCCCTCACAGGCTCGATCCAGATGCAACAGCAGGGCAAGCAGCAACAGTGGTAAATTAATGCGGCTGTTGCTGCCTCCCCCCCATGCATTCCCAACAGGGCTCTGTGCAATGGATTTTGGTAGTGAGCCCTGCCCCCAAATTCCTGCCCCCTTTCCCCTGCACCCGGCAAGTCTCAAGGGCCAGATGACATGACTGGGCTGGATCTGGCCCATGGACCATATTTTTTACATACCTGATCAGGCATAAGGCCGTGCTTGTTCATTTTCTTATATATTGACACATTTTATTGATCTAATTTAGAGCTATACACTGAAGCTATTATTGTTTAATAAGTCCTTAGGCAAGATTTTATTAAAATCAGTAGATTGAGTTGAGGACATCAGGATTTAGTCATTCAGAATATAAACTCTTGAATATTGGGACAATATTTTCTATATATTATATAAGATGGAATATGCAATAGTGTTTATTAAAAGTAAGAAAAATAGTCACCTGATAAAATTATACATAAGTAGAAATTGGGTTCTAATACACACAATTCAGCTGAACTTTGGAGTAACAATGGATGGTATAGATGATAAAAGCAAATATTGTAATACAGTGGCTTCATCACATTTGAAGATAAATACATTAACAGTATATTTGAATTATTTTTCCAATTTCCTCTGGTACAGTGTTAACTTTTGATATTGGAGATGGACACAGTGAAGTTAAGTGAGTAAATAGGCAGATGGATATTTATTGGTCTACAAAAATACTATGACATCAGTATAAGAAACAGAATTGGTAAAAGTATATCAGATCAATGTAGAATCTGATGTAAATGCAGCAGGCTGCTCGTGTTAATCTGCACAGGAAGCATATAATGCTAGTTCTCCATAACTTGCAAAAGATTGTACATTGACTTCCAGGTGTAGTACCAGATGTTGACTTGGTTCCGTGTAGCTTAAGATGATTTGGGCTCTGTGTAACCAAAAAAACTGCCTCTGTTTCACAAGTCATTACGACAGGGTATGCCTGCAGAGACGCACAATTTTAAAATCTTTAGATTTGGGGCATAAAGATCTGGAAATTGGTTCATAAGTGATCCAATAGAGTATTCCTTCAATGTTGAATACCCTTTTCCTGCCATTCTGAAACAGTTAAAGTCATGTGATCCATCTCATCTCTCATGCATTTGAGGGAGATGGGTGTGAACAAGGAGAAAATTGTTCTTCAGGCATGCCCTTTTTAAGTAGTAAAGGTTCATCATTACATTTTAGAACATCAGCCCTGAGAAGTATTAGAGAAGTACATTTTATAACTCAAAATATTTTTGCTATTTTGATTGATTTTAAAATGACACCTATTTTTAAATTATATTACTACTTAGTTATATAAAGTCATACACATTTACATGTTGCAAGGATGTTCCAAGTGAAAATAAGTACACATCAGTCTTATATTAGAATGCAGGAATATTAGAATGTATTCTGATAATATTTGCTTGTTAATAGATGGAGGAAAAATAAATACTGTGTTTTTATCAATAGTGCTCAGAGGGAATAGTGGGTTGGTAATGAAGTCTTGAATTCAAAGTTGTAAGCCTGAACCTGGCTCACACTGTTAGTAACCAAAACCTATCCACTGATAGCTGTTTAATCTCTTTCTCTTCACTAATCAATAAAACAGAATTAAAATTGTTCTGACCTACTAAAATGCCTTTTTTTTGTTAGTATTAACCTCGCCAAGTATACATTATTGGTGCTTATGTTGTTTAATGATCCCAGTGAAATATCTTGGCACTGTGTGGACACAGCTTATAACAGCAAAAGCTGTTAAAGCTTATTTTAGTCCACCAAAATTGAAATAACCTATACCAGCAAAGACCTAACTTTGCTGTTATGACTGTGTCTGTAATAGGGGGATTTTGCTGGCCAAGGTATTTCAGTCAGGGATTATTCCTTATCACATCTCTGACCAACACACTTGTGGCAGTCAGAGTGTAATGTAGGCCTAGCCCACATTTCCCATCAGTATTTTCCTCCTTTAGAGTACTATATAATGGAACACTTTTAATAAAATAAAAGCTATTGACTATTATAAATCCCTGTGTTACTGAATCTAGATGTTGAAATATAGCATAGACAAATAGTGTTCTTTAGTATTTAGTGTAGTGGATTCCAGAGATTTGTTACAAATGCTGTGATGACTGGCTGTGTGGCATTGGTCACGTATAATTTCCCTGTAAAATGAATCAAAATGGTTGACTGGTCTGTTAAATGGATGAAATAATACTTTCCTACCTCAGATAATCAATAAATGTTTGTGATCTCTTTAGGTGAAGTATATCACTCTAGCAGTGCAAAGTTTTTTCATGATCATATTAGGTTATTGGTTTTAAATGTATTCAGTTACTGCATTTATCTTTCAAAAGATGAAGAACAATACATGTTCACAAATTATTTTCTAATTTGTCACTTCTACAGAGTATGACAGGGGAGTGGCACCCACCCAAAGAGAATAGTGGAAACAAACCTCCACCTAATAATAACATATTGGGTTATGTGGTTCGTAGATTGATGGCCATTATCTACCCTCCAAAAGCGGAACCCCCACCACCTGTATTTCCTTCATTTCGTATCAAGGGATGTATTTTGGGAAAACTTTTTAGTGGAAAAACGACCTGTGCAAAGTTCTTGAAAGAAGGTAGAGAGTCTTTTTCTCTAGAACTTGTTTGCTGAGTGTCCTCTCTTAAACTAGCTCTTTGTGGACAGGCCCCTGCACCAATGCAGACCTCATTGCAAGACTGGGAACTCAAATGCATTAGTATGTGCCTGGAACTGACTCTGTATAATTTATTTACTCTCCCGCTCCCAAGTAAAAATGATAAAGTTCCTGAATGTCAAAGTCCACTGTTAATGATTATCTCTCATCGGTTTACTTCAGAATGTATTGAGAGCTTAGGAAATGTTTTCATAGAATTTTCTATTTGTGATATTTATAAAAAAGGTGGAAGGCTAGGTAGATATTCACCTTTATGGACTGACTAAGATATATAATGCACAACCTTTTGAGAATCCAAGTTCACTTAATCAGATGCTGCCAAAAAACTGCACAGTTACTAACATGCATTATACAGTCTCTACAGAGACATATCAGTGGAAACAAATTCCAACAGAAAGATGTTTGCAGTGCATCTTGTCAACATTAATTCTACTTATTCTCTTTTTCTGTGCATTCTGCCCAATGTACATCTATCACAATAATATTTTCTTTGTATTAGGTTGCAACATTCAGATATTGTCTATTGATACTCTGGTTGAGGAAGCCATCAAAACTTTCCATGAAAATGAAATTAAAATTGAAACCAACTTGATTCCACAGGAAGCAGAAGTTTCTGTAAAACAAAATGAAGTAAGTGCACTTCATCATAGCCTGTAAGATTTTTGTTCTTAACTTTCATAGGGAACAGCAAGATGAAATAGGGTAGAAGAAAAATGAATAACCTATGTTTTTTTCATCTTGAAATAACCCACAGATAGAAAACTGTAAGGCAGTTTTGATTAGTGATTTTTTCCCCCTCATCAATAGCTTTGTGTAAACTTTTTTCTTAATCTATTTGTTAAAATTATAAACACAAAAAATATATGCTGTGTTAAAAGCTCTTGTAATCCATACTGGACCATGTTATAGGTAAATATGTAGATATAATTCAGATGCAGTGACAAGCTACAATTCTGTAGTCTCTTATTATTACCTTTTATATAAGTGAAACATTTTCTTCATTCTAGTCTTAAATCTTAAACAAGTACAGTTAAAGCCCTGTTATCTGGCATTTTACTAACCAGAATACTCTATTAACTGGAATTCCAGCTGGTTGGCCAGACGCGGGGGTGGGGCGGGGAAGAAACTTGCACAAGGCAGCAGCTGCCGCCACCCTGTGCTGCTGTCATTCTGCATCCAGCTGAAATGTCCACCCTATGCTGCCACTGCCACCTTTTTTAACATGTTGTGGTGCAGGGGTTTTCAATCTTTTTTAACTTTTTTTTTTTTTTTTTACCCCTTCTGGTGGTGGCGGCTGGACATGAAGCGGAGGGGGGGGGGCCACCCACCACCCCACACCGCCATTGCCACCCACTGCGCCACCGCCCACCACTACCACACCCCTGGCTTCCCACAGCCAGTCGCACATGAGGCTCTGTGGGCTGCTGACAGGCCTTGTGTCTGGCTAATCACATGCTGCCCATCAGCAGCCTGCGGAGCCGCATGTGCGACCGGCCATGGGAAAGCGGGAAATGACAGGCAAGCTTATTGATTGATAGTGCTACCAGCTTCATTTTAATAAAGTACTGCCAAGTAATAGTGCATTTTTAAAGATAATGAGATTTACACTGAAGGCATAGAAGCTAATGAAAGCTATCTTCTTTGTTCTGAAACAATTATTGAAGTGGAGGGGAAGAATGTGGTTTTTACGAACAGCTATCTCAGAATAGTAACTTATTTTCTTTCTTGAAGAATAAATCAGTTCCTTGTATAGGCTTGTGACTGAATACATTGTTGCAATGCAAGAGCTTTCCATCTGAATGTGAGAAAATGCAAGAACTGAGCAGTGCAGTAAAATGATTTCAGACTCCTTTGGAAAGCATTCTTAGATTTCTTTGATGTATACAGGGCATCTGATGTGCCATTGACTGTCTATGTGCTCTGTCTACATGAGACTGAGTGGTGTCAGAGATAAAGGCTGAACAGCCTTCTCTCTCCTGTAACTCCTTCAACCAATGTTTTTTAAACTTACCATAAGTATAAAAATTCTAATATTGTAAAAGCCTAAGTCTGTCTGTCTGTCTGTCTGTCTGTCTGTAATGCTTCATTCACACTCTGACTGGCTGATGGAAACATCAGCTCCCCACCCCGCTCCCTGCAAGCAGCACTGAGGACTGGACAGGGGGTGTGGCCTTGGCTTCCCAACCCCGCTCCCTGCAAGAGGCAGACCAGTGCAGCATGGGGCATTAGGTGGCGGCACTCCATCCCAGCCCCTCCCTCCCCAATCATTCTTGCTGGGCATTTGGTTAGTGCTTTTATAACAGCTTAACATTTGTAAATCTTTCTCATTATAGAGCAGAGCTGTCCAGTTTCTCAGCTCCTTGGGGACCACATGACCAGGGGCCCCACAACAGGTGGCTTTGATCCCTGCTTATAGCATGGCCCTGGACTCACTCTCAGCTCTCTACACTGCCAAACTGCCCTGCCCCCTGAAGCAAAGGCAGGAAGTGGCAGCTGGAAAAGGGAATGGGGAGCCTGGGGTCTCTAGCTGTTATTTCAGCTGGAACAATGGGGGAGTGGCGACTAGGTGAGAGCCCAGGGGCCACAAATTAACCCCCTGAAGGCCACATATGGCCCATTGGGGCCAGTTGGATAGCCCTGCTATAGAATATTCTGTTAATGAGGCATGTAAACAGCAATTAATATGCATTTGTTTAAGTAACCTGCTAATTAAATAAGTTACAAAACCAACAGGGTCTGATGAGTTTGACACCCCTGTACTAAGCAGAACACTTTTCCTCTTTTTACATTGTCAGCCATATTTCAGTAATTTTTTTTCTATATAAAATATGAACACTAATAATATTGCACAAAGTCACGACATTTATTTGGAATTTTTTTTAATCTTTGTGTTATTGACTTCTTTGTCATCGGTTGTCCAGAAATATATCTTCCATCCACCATCTCTCACATTTACAAGGCTGCAGATTGCTATATCAAAACTTTTCCAGAATTTACTCTTATCCTGGTCATGCTAATATATACTCCCTTGCTTCCAGTATGTTAAGGAAATGGGAAGGTCCTGAGACATGTAGGCTGCATTACTCTGATGACATCAATCAAACTAAATATTGCTGTAAACTCCCATGCTTGATTCTGAACCTGTGCTTGTATAAATCAGGAATGCGTTTCACTAAAGTCCATAGAATTATCAATGTAAACTCAGAAAGAAGTTGGAATCGAGTATCTTGACTTTTAATTCCCTGACTTTTATGTGCTTTAGTTTTGATTTTAACATTGCTTAGCATAACTTATTACATGTAATGATTAAGAGTGTGGCGGGCCAGTAGGGGGCGCTCCTGCATTGAGCCACCCATCTCACTGCACCCAACCACCTTCTAGGCTCTGAGTGCCTCCCTGGGGGCACCTCACGTCTGGCCGACCCCCTTCCTGGAGCACACCGCTAGCCTGGGGGTTCCACTGCCACCACCCAGGGCTCTGGACTGATTCTGGCTCTGTGCACCCTGGGAAATGCAGGCCTAGTAGCCCTCAAGGGTACTTGATTCACTTCAAAAAGTTGGGATGCTTCCCTCAGTCAGAAGCACAACTAGTGGTCTCCCTTAGTCAGCCGAACCAAGGGGACCCCAAGGGATAATCTAGACCCACTCCCAATAAGTCTCCCATGCTGGGTACAAAGGAGAGCTTTATTGGTTACAAGGGGTAGGGTTGGAATAGGGTACAGGGTAGAGCAATATCAGAGAAATCCCATAGAGCAAACTCCCCTGGCTGGGTAGCCTTTGATCACGCATCTGGGTTACTGCAAGCTAAATATCTAGTTAGATCTCAGGTAGATTACTCACAAGTATCATCCAGAGGAAGTTGGAGATTCCTTCTGGAGGCAGGCAGTTCCCTGATCATGAGTTTTGAGAGAGAGAGCAAGTTTCAGATGGTACAGCTTTTCACTGTCTCTGAGTCTCCCTCATGGCTGCTGCCCCCCCCCCCCGGCAGTCCTTAACTTATATAGAACTTGTGAACTCTAGCCCTTGTGACCTCATTTACCTGGTTCAGTGGAGTCCAGCACCTGTTGGCTGTCAGCCAACCAATTGAAATACATCACTAGTTGCCGGGCAGACTCTAGCCCACCAGGGAGGAAGCCCCTTACCTAGGTATGTGATACTAGTCATGTAGACAGAGGGAGCAGGTTTCCCCCCTCCCTCAGGAAGGTATCCAGCTCAGGTTACCTAACGAGATAGGGTAAAGGTGTGTCTCCTCTGCTGGGTCCATCCTGACCAAATTGTCACAGCAGAGTTTTTGGGGAGAAACAAAGGTGGCCTTCTGCCACAAAGGGTCTCCCCAACTCAAGGTGGCAGCTAGCTAATTTCGCAGGCAGAGCACAGGGCCAGCTGCCATTTTCACAGACTTATTGTGGTGCCCTTGGTGACCCGACCCCCACTGCTGATTGATAGAGAGGGGTGGGGCCTGACAAAAGGTAGCCCTCTCAGCCAATCAGCAGTGAGGGGCAGGGGTCTTCTGCTTGCTTGCGTGTTTGCCTTAGAGCCGGTAGCCTCCTTTGTGCTAGGCTGTACATCCAGAAGGACTATTGGCTCCTTCTGGGAAGCCAGCATTTTATTTTTAGTCATTTTGTTTTGTTTTGTTTTTGCTTTTCCATGGATTTCATGAAGATCACCCAATTTTGTAATTTCCGCAAATTTGCGATTTGAATAGGTCCCTAATCATGTTCAAGGGCCTGAGCTGGTTACTTCAGTGAAGCTAGGCCACATTTCACCAACCGAAGCTCTTGCACTTCATTAAATAATTTAACAAATATTTTAGTTTGTGCTTTGAATTCCCAAACATATTAACGCTACATCTTTTTGACTACTCTTTTCCACAGCTATCCGTATATGCCCAACTTGGTGCAGCATCAGAGAAATTTTTGAAGAAAGGAAAAAATATTCCTGATGAACTGCTAGTTAACATCATGGTGGAAGCTGTTAAGTACGAACTACAGTAGTTTGCTTTTTATACTCTTCCTTTAAAGTATCTGCTGCTTGTCACTGTCAGAGATAAGATACTGGGCTAGATGGACTGTTCGTCTGACCCTGAATGGCAGACCTTACTATGTTTCAGTATTATGCAAAATGTAGTTGTATGCTTTTTTCTTAGGGCCAGACTTTGCCATTCTGACTCATGGATATTAATAGCTGACTCCATTTAATTGTCACCCTTAAATGTAGCAAAATCAAATACAGTAGTGGTAGGGGGGAATGGGACCTCTAACTCATCAACAATTAATAAAGCTAAATATACCTGTTTAGCCAGAATAAAATTGTACAGTATTTCCTAATGCTTTTCTTTTAATTTTTTTCTGAGAGAAAGTGTGTATGTATAATGCAGACAAGGTTCCTTGGGTGAATTTGATATCTTTTATTAGACCATGCAGCATCTAAAGTTTTATAACCCTATTTCGTATTATATCATCAGTTTTCTTGAAGTAAAGCAGTCATGTTTTTTAATTCTACTCATGACACTGCATTTTAGTTTCCTAATGGGCAATCACTCAAAAATGTACCTCCCACTATTACATCAAGATTCTGTAATAAAAATCTGTTATTTACCAACTGTAAGGCCTCCTCCATACATTACAGGTATCATGCAATTAACTGGTTAATTGCACAGTTATCTTAAAACCACACATGCAGAGTACTTTCCACACCATAAAGAGCTCCAGCCAGATATAAAGTTAGACCTTAAAAATACATACTAACTTTATAGCTGGTTGCAACTGAGCTTGAATTTGCATATGTAGCAGGATTTCCCCTGTGGCTGGGAGCTCCGTCAGCTGATGGGGTTTCCAGCTGCAGGAGTATACTTTGCCTAGCCAGGACTGGGAGTCCTCCAACTAAGGGGATTCTTAGCCTGTTGCAGGTGCTGGGTCCTAGCAATGTGCCCAGGTTTCATGTACTCCCAAGGCGTGGAGATGGCAACAGTCACACTCTCCCAGCCCCTGGGGCTCCATGCACCCTCGGGACTGGGAGATGACAGCAGTGGCATCTCCCAGCTGTTGACCTACATGGGGTGTAGCAGGAGGCACAATTGTGTGGATTGCTCATTAGATCCCATTGCACCTTTTATGTGTACTTGTAGAGGGGCCCTAAATGTCAGCAGAGAAGAGAAAACTGATGCTGCAACATTTCTTCTCATAGCATAAAGATCAGTTTTTCTGACCTTATGTAGAAAACTGAAGTACTTTGGAGTTTGGCTTGATTTTAATCTGGCTTGATTTTAGTCTTCTTTAATGTTTTTCTATTTAACCAACTTTTTTCTTTGAAGTGTTTATTTTAATAATGTATGCAAGGATCCTGTGATATTCAGGATATTTTGTTGTGCCTAATTTAGATTGAAGAATGATAGGAGAATCACTTCATTGTTATACCTTATTAAATTAAAATAATTTCAGTAGGTGTTTATTGTACTTTATTGTTCATTAGGCAAACACCGCAGAAGAGAGGATGGATCATGGATGGGTTTCCAATGACAATAAATCAGGCAAAATTACTTGAAAAAGCACTTACAGGCAGTGATCTAGATGAAGCACAAGTAAAGGATGAACGTTCTAGAAAGCCCTTACTAGTTACAGACCCAACAGCTCCCAAAGGTCCACCTTTACCTCTACCTGCATTTGATTTTGCTTTGTTACTAGATGTTTCAGATATCACAGTGCTAAAGCGCATGGCTGACTCAAAGAGTAAGTTACGTTTCTTTGAATGCATTTATGAAACCTCTGTGACATCCACATCCTAATATAATAGGAAATAAAAACTAGTTATGACACTGAGACAACTATATTTATCAAGGTTGCTCTACATTTATGCTATCAAGGATCATGTGACCTATTTGCCAGGAGTTTTGAGAATGAATCTTAAATTTCTTATACATATTTTATGTCACAGGTAGCAAGAACTTATATTATTTACTCATACTTTAAATGATGATGATGATTAGGAACTGTTTGTTCAGTTTCATCCTTAGCTTTGCTTTTCATCTGTGAAGACAAGGAAAGGGCTTAGCTGAATTTTAATATTTTGCTAAGATCCTTTTGCACACCCTGCACTTTGCTACAGTGCATAACCAAGTCTAAATAACTCTCTAATCATAAATGTTATCTCAAGCTTTACCAATATTTACTAGATTTGACCATTCAGCTCCATACAATGAAGCAAAGTACCATCATAGCAATTTTCTTTTAATCTCACAAGATCTCATGCATAAACTTGGCATCATATTATTGTAGATACTTTCAAAATATTACAGTTTTTTCTGTTTAAATCTGCCTGCAGCTGAAAGTATGTGTGTGTGATAATCTTACACTGTGTTAACACCCAATGTTGTGCCATATCTTGTATAATTTAATGAAGTACCAAGCAGAAGAAACGTAAAATAGAGGAGATGCAGAAATATGAGCAGTTAATTATGCATAGGTAGAAAACTTCATTCTCAAGGGTTGCATAATGCATTGAGAATGTTATGGAGGGATGGACAGGACAGGTTCTCATCTCACTGAGCATCAGCACTACTCCTGCTTTCATTGCTTCCTTGGCTGTTTCTTTAATTATCTGTTTTTGACCAAAATGGACAAAACATTTTGTAGTAACAAAACTTTTTGTAGAACTGAGCTAGGATCCAACATAAGCTTAAGGAAGCTCAGCAATGGCCAGCTCTAACTCCCCCCTCAGACTTTACCCTCTTACTAACCCTGTCTGGACACATGAGGATATACTTTCATGAAGAGATCTTATGTTTGCCAGTCTGTAAGGAGACTGTGCCTTAAACTTCCAGAATGGCACGGGGGAGGGCTTTGCTTTTACTTGAAAGGTTAGCACAATTTAGTGCATTTGAGTTACTCTCCACTTGGCTAGTTTAGCTCAGGTAAGAGGGACCACACTGCAAACCATGTGAGCTATACAGAGTGCTTTCATTAGCGGCACTGGGTGATTGAACAGAGTCAATTACAAAGTTGCTGGAATTTACTAATTCTAGTCTCAGCATTACTCAAGCGCCAACCAGTATCCCCAGACATGAACTTAGGTATGTTTATATTTTGACAAGAGTCAGGTTAGGGACAAAACACAAATAACAGTAAAGGCAAGCCCCTGGAATGTAATACTTGAAGTCTAATTAATTCGAAAGAATCCTGATACTAAAACATTTTTAAAAATTGACAATTCATGCTAGAATTTCAAGAATCTGAAGAGAATATATTTCCTGTTAATCTCCTGTACTACCTACTATCTTTTTATTTTCAGAATATATGATATGAGTATTTTAAATAAAGCAGTTTTCATTTTGATAAAGTTTTTAATAGGAACCCAGAACTAGCTCATAAATTTTCTTTTTTAATGGATTCTCTAATATGTTTCCATGTAACAAATTAGAGTCAACTCAAGACCAGCAGGAAGATAGTGATCAAGCTTCTGATGCTGAACTCAAAGAAAGAGAGAAGATTGATTTAATCAGGGACCAGATGCAATATAGGTTAGTTTTATTAAATACAATAATAATAACCTCTAATATCTGAGTATTTGGGCATTTTGTGATATTTGAAGTACATTGGAAGTCAGATTATACTTCACATTGCAGTATTCATGTGCTTAAAGTTAAGGATATTTTCAAGATTTTTGCTGATCCTAGACCTGAATCAGTACCCTCATTTCTTGATATTGTATAATTCCAAAAGATAGTAATTTATATATGCAGCTTGTTGTAGTCTTAAAAGCATTTATTTTTTTCAAACATGTAGAGAAAATGGTCCTATTTTATTATTTTCTTTATTTATATGTGCTTCAGTGATGTGGTAAGATATTAGAATGTTGTGTCAAACATAACTGAATATTGTCTCTTAATTTTGTTTTGGCCACATTTCCTAAAATGTACTCTTTTGTATATAAAAATATATAAAAATAGTATTCAAACATAAAATATTCATATATCAATATATAAAAGTCCTATAATATTCATTAATAATATTAATATTAAATATTCATAAATAAAATATTCAGAACTCTTGGGGAGGGGATATCTTTTATTAGACCACCTAAATGGTTGCAAAAATAAATAAACAAATAAAATAGTTGTATATACTTTACATTTTCCAATATTCGATTTAATATGTTTATTTGAGACTTACAAATTTAAACATACCATATTGATATAATTTCACAGAATTGTAGGCTTTCGGGAGAGCTGGCCCAAACTGGAGAAGTGGTTTTCAGTGCAGCAAAATATTCTAGTGAAAGTAAATGCAGAGATAGAAGAGAATCTTTTGTGCAAAAGTGTAAAGGAAATCATACTGGAAGAAATTTTCAAAAAACAAAATAAAAGTAAGGTATTTAATTTCTATTTTTCATATTGAGATTTTAATATTAATATATATGGGTTTTGTATAATTAAGTGAGGTATATGCTAAAAAAGTTTATTGCTGGTGACATTAAAAGTACATGAAAGTGAAAAAATATTTATATTTGTTGAAAAGTGACCTTTCTTATTCTTGTGGCAGACTTTTTTATATACTTAAACATATTTTTTAATTAATCATTAGTCTATTGGCAAAGAACAGTATTACACTGCAGATGCAAAGAATTTTTTCCCGTTAGTTAGAATGTTGTCAATTTATCAATAAAAATCTATATTCACTTGTAGAAATTGGTTAGATCAAAATGCTGTCAATGTTGGATCAAAATCAAGCTTTGAAGCAAATTAATAATATCAATTTCAATGTTGTTATGCAAATTGGACATTGTTGGTAATTTTATTTGGCTCTTTTGTGAGTATTTAAATAAACATTGTTGTATAAACCTGTGCCAAAGTCTCTCCCTAGATACATTGGTATAAATTAGGATGAAGTTACATTAGCTCAATCTGGCACTACAGTGGTATAACTAAAAAAACATTGCCCAGTAATGTTTTATTTAAAAGAAAATTATTTTGACAAGTCCTCACAACTATGTAATTTCTATGAACCTAAATAGATTCAAGCATTTTCAGGATCATTTCTTATTAAAGAGAATTCAGTTAAATACATTAAATAAAACTATAAGTACTTGTTGTTTGCACAAATATACGGTGTAACAGTGAATAATCATAAAAATTCTTGCTGTGAATTACAGTTCAAAATTAATAACATTATTCTAATGCTGCTTTTATCTAATTATATTTTTTGTTGAAATTATTTTAAAGGAGAACAACTGGAAAAAAGAGAATCTGAGAAAAAGCAAGGAACTCGCACACCTTTGCAACCAACTGAGACATTAACAGATAAAAACAAGGAAACTGAACGTATTTCTCAAGATAAGGAGCCTGCACTCACAAAATCCAAAGTACCCAAAGGTTTGTCAGCAATAGTGAACTAACTGATTTTGAGCTTTTTTTCTCAGCTCTTTATAACAGATGTTGGGGAACAGAGACATAAATACCAGGGTCTATGCCCTGGGCAGTGGCAGGGGCAGGGGTGGCTGTGACAGTGGTGGCAGGTGGGCTAGCAGCAGTGGCAGCTGCTGTTCTCAGTCCCCTCCAAGTGGACGCCCAGGGCTGATGTTCCAGTTGCCCATCCTTTGTTACACTACTGCTGGAGTACTTATACTGTATATATTTCAAGATAAAATAACTAGAGCCCTTTTTCTGCAAGGTAATGGCCCTCAACCTATCTACCTTTTCAGATTATATAAATCAGTTTCAAATCTAATGAGACACTAGAATGTTTAACATACAATGTCTAGTATATATAATTTAGCCCTGTGAAATAACTGAGTCTCAATTTCATCCTTTGTTTCCTGTGTTAAACCTCAAAACTAGTATTTTCACTGGATCGAATAACACAATATTTTTTTTATTGCTAACACTCAAAACACTTGTAACTCAGCATACTAATGGTGTATATGTTTTTTGTGTCTGTGCATGCATTAGAGTTACCCAAAAAGTCAGACTCCTTTAAAGACAAAAAAAGAAAGAAAGACGAAGCAGCCAAGGGAAAAGATGCAGCAAATAAACCAGGTTAAATATACGTTTGCATTTTTTACTGTTTTGGAAATTAACCTAAGACTATTTAGTGTCTGTAGTTATCTTCAATGCCTCTCTTTAAAAATAGCATTAGTACCTGTTAATTAATTGGAAGAACATGCTGAAACAGGGAAAATTAGAGTAATTTTTCAGTGAAGGGAGTCTGCATGCCATTTCATGATGGAGTCTTCTAATTTTCATACCTAACAAATATTTTTGTGTTTCCAAGAATTTTGATTGAATTTTGGGGTGAAATAGCAAGCTTTTCATTGACTTAAATGTAGCCAAGATTTTCCACTAGAAGTACTGCAGAAACAGAACACTCATGTCCTATGAGGAAAAAATATGTTGGGTCAGTCATCAGCAGCAGCTCCAGGTTTATATCAGTGGATTCTCAATGGAGTTCAATCCTGTTTTCTATGCTCGGAGGGATAATGTTGGCAAAGCAGAGGGATGAATGTTCAATAGGAGACCACTGACTACTCATTAGGCCATTGATACGGACATACTAGGGAAAAATAAAAGAATGATACTCAGAATGCTTAGCACAGGTATTCTAAGGTATAAATCAGAGTGCTTTAGTTGACCATCAACTTACCTGTTTTCTGCCCCACAAAATCAACACTGTTAAAAGCAACTGTTCCTTTGGGCATCACTGTTTCAAAAACACTGTTTTTGAAAAGCACAGAGTTATGGTAGCTACAGAAGCGAATCAAAATGTATCTTTGCTAAAAATGTTAAATGTCTTTCAACAAAAAGGGACTATTAAATAAGCTCCTTCAGGTGTTATTGTATCTTCTCTCTGAATGTGTTTAAATCTAGATCTACATAATATCTTCCCATTATATTTTCTAATGAATCTGTCCAGCATTTTTGGCCTACCTCCTATTCCTTTTGACTCTTTATGTATGTATATTTATTCATTAACTTTCAGTTTAATTTAAAGTAAAATTAAAGCCAAATTCAAAAGAAACCTGATATAAATGGAATGCAACCGACTTCGTCTCTCTTGGTTTAAGCCGGGTTTTCCATCTTCTGGATGGTGTGGGGCTGCATGTCCTGCAGGCCCCAGACCCATAGGTCGCACACCCTGTGGCAGCCCTCCTGGGGGTTCTCTTCCATTGTGCAGGCAGCTCATTCCCCTTCACCCTATTGCTGCAGTCAGCCCAGCTCTGCTCCAGGTCATTACAGCCCAAGGAGCCCAGCTCCTCTCTCTCTGGCTGTACACAGAGCATGGGTAGCACAGTCCCCTCCCTGACCTCCCATTCCACTGCCCCAGCCTGCACCCAGAAGCAGGTTAGGAAGCAGGAGCCAGAAGAGAATGGGGAAGCCCACAGCCCTCAGCTGCCATAGCAGCAGATGTTATACGAGGAGTGGTGGCCAGGTTGGAGCACACAGGCCACATATTAACCTTCCATGGCCACATACGGTTTGCAGGTTACCAGTTGGACAGCTCTGGGATAAAGAATGACACATCTGAACAATAAAATGCTTAGCCTGCAAAGTTCATTTGAAGGCAACCAAGAATGCAAGTCTATTAACTTCTTCTTACATAAAATATGTGCAGCATACTAATTGTTCATTCTTATTTAAGGCTCTGCTCGAGGAAAATCACCAGTTCCACCTGAAGATCTACCCCCTTCAGCTGCAGTTGGACTGCCACCAACTAAACCAGGCTCAGATAAATGGGTTTATATAGATGAACCACTACCAAAGGTGCAGGAATTCAAGATTATTTAAAAATGTTCTTCTCAATTTTACAGTGAATTTCCCATATACTTTGTCATAATACAAAATCATTTGTTTTTAAAGACTTTTTTCAATAGGTAAAGAGTGAAGGAGAAGTTGTTGCATGTATTTTATATGATATTTATTTGCTTTATATGCTTCCCTCACCAAAAAAGGCTCTGGGCACCTTGCAACAAAAAGAAGATAAATTAAAAAAACAGATAAAATATTAAAATATAATAGTGAGTAAGAAAATGACTCCCCAGATAATACCTGAAAACTTAACTGTGCCTGCTAAACACCTGCCCAAATAAGGCAGTGATTCCAGATAGGGCAGTCTTGCAGTGCTTCCAAAAGATGGGCCTCAAGGGGCAAAGAGTTCCAAAGCTGACAAGTGACTACTGAGAATAATTTCCCACATATTTTTGCTGCTCACACTTGGCACACAGATGGAACTTGCAAGAGGTTGGTCTCAGCTAACTTAACGAAACATAAGGAAGGAAGTAATCCCTTAGGGCGCAGTTGGGGGGCGGCTCCCCGCTATAACTGAGAAGGCTTTGCAGGAAGCATTCTGAGTTACAATAATTGCCCATTGCAAACAGAAGTTCCCTGTTGGTTCCAGGGAAAAGGGGAATCTAGCTGCTGGCTGGGAGCCTGTAGCTGGGTTCCCACAGCAGTGGCCCCTCCTGCCTGGGAGGCTGCAAAGTTTTCAGAATGGGAGGCGGGAAAAGAAGCAGAGGGAGCTCATTCTAGGGGTTCCCCAAGTGGCACTGGTGGGTGAGGTGCATGAATTGGAGCCCTCCCACCTCAGGGGACTCCAATACACCTGCCCCACCTTCCAGTGGGGGCTGAAAAACCCCAGACCAAACTCCCTCTGCTCCCTTTCCCCCTCCCATTCTGAGAACAGCGACAGGTTGGCAGGCAATGCAGACAGAAATGACAGAAGATGCTTTGTTTTTAAATGTCTTCATCTGACCCCTCATGTAATGAGTGTTCAGAATTTCACCTGATAGGTCATTCTTGAAGCACTCTGCAGCCATGCACTTGTGTTTGGTCATGGCTGTAGATTGCTTTCTGTGGCCAGATCTGGCAAAAATTGTCACTTTTGTCCGTGCCCTTAGTTAGGTAGGACCCAGGACAATTAGGCCAGTTCCGTCTAAGGCCAGTTAGATGAAAACCATCACGCTGAATTGTGCCTGCAAAGCTATTGGAAGCTAGTAGAGAGCTGGACTGTAGAGAGCTGGAGTAATGTGTTGGTAATGATCCATCCCCATCAGAAGGTGGTCTGCCACATTCTGCACCAGTCTTAGCTTCCAGACAGTCTTCAAGGGTACACCCCTGCAATAACAAAATATATTAAGACTTTTAAGATAAATTCCTTAGAGCAGTGCTTCTCAGCTTTGTTATACTCAAGGCACCCATCATTAGTCAAGGTCTGTGGAAAATGCTGCTCTTAGCTTTGACTTGGTTTTTTACTATAGAAAAACAATAGAACAATTCTGCTTTTGCAAAGAACTCAGAAAAGATGCAACAGGTCAGAATGTTTCTAACACTATAGACTCCTGTTTGAAATGTCTGGGTTTATCTTGTGAATCATGTTCACTCCCACCTGTGCTAACACTGTGTGGCTTGCCACAGCAATCTTTAAAGGAGCTCAAGGCACTGCAGGGCCCCATCACACTCTGGTTGAGAATCACTGCTTTAAGAATCACAGTGAACAGTAGCATATGGGTGACAAGATGTTACTACTTTTTAATATTATGAAAGACATACAGATAGTAAACAAACTTTGGTAGGATATTTGTAATTTATTATCAAGAATGTAAAAGAAATGTATTTCAAGTAGTCTATTATCCAGGTATAACTTCTTTTTTATGTGCTGGTGATTATATTTGGCAGGTCAGTAGAAAGTGTATGAAGTAATGAATTGTTTATTTCAATAATTAACAGGAAATACCAGAATTTTTAGTGCCTTATTGGGAGATGGTAGAAAACAACTATGTAAATACCATCAAAACTATACTTAGACATCTGAGAGATGAACGGCATTCTCTTATTTATTACTTAGCAGATATTAGGTGAGTACTACTAGCTTAATGCATTAGCATTTACATTTCATATATTCCCTTTGCCAGTCAAGGTAAATTTTAGCTTTAAAACTCTCTAAACTCACTGTTCATAGAAACAATTTCCTGAATTATCTGAAACGTCCAGATCATAAGCAAGCGTTTGTATCTCAGTGGCAAGCTGATTTTAACTCTACTGCTGATGACCTGTGGGAGGATGAGGAAATAAAAGCAGAATTACACCAAAGAGTCACTGTAAGTAAAATGGCAAATGTTACAGTCTAATGAGTTGTGAAGCTCCAATGATTTGAACTCTCAGAATATTATTATTGTACGACTTCTAATATCTTAATTATTTTATCAATTTTCTGGAGTTATTTCAGTTTTACCTTTATAATATTTTCTATTATATCTGTATTTCTGTCAATTTTTTACCATTATATGTTTTTGTTCCCTTTTATTTGTGTGATAGTGTTCTAGTCACCTTCTCTCCCTTTCCTCATATACCAGCATGCATTCAGCTATTTTTACTTAGATGGACTATAAAAAGGTACTCTACCCCTAAAGGGCTAGGAACCTAGCTGCAGGTGGTCAACTGAATAGTCTTTCTGGATGGGAGGTTGGGGACCATCTGGAACTGATAAGCAGTGGCAAGTAAAACCACAAAAGTATAAGAACTGTAGGATGGGAATGCAGAAAAGGTTAGATTGATGTTCTAGGGAGAAGCCCAGAGCTAAAATTGCCCCTCTCCTGATGTTTGGATAAGATAAAGTTTGTTTGTTTCATTTGCTGTGGGTTCAAGTTCATTTCTATAAAACATGGACTTGATTTGCCTGTGATTCTGAAATGATAGCATCTACTAGGGGTGTGCGAAGCAGGCAGTATTCGATTTGGATTCAGCTTGATTTGGGGGACAGTGATTTGATTCACTGATTCCAATTGCTGTCCCGATTCAATTTGGCTGAATCTGAAGATTTTATTCTGATTTGGAGAATCAGTGATTCGGCCATAGACACAGCTTTATATGTTTTTTCTACATACCTCAAGGTACCAGGCGTGGTTCATGAACACTGAGATAGTGGGGCAGATGAAGCATCCCACGGGAGTGTGTGGGGGGGGTCTGCCACCAAGCTCATGGGGGACCCCCCCACATCCCCTGGCTTGACAGTTGACCGCAGGGGGACCCCACATGCCCCCCTAGACCCAGGAGGCACCAGTTGCTGAGCTGGGGGGCAAAAGGGACTCTCGCATGCTCGGCGGCAGACCCAGGAGTGGATCAGAAGTACTTCCAATTCACTTCCCGGTCTACCGCCAAGCTCATGGGGGACACCCAACCCACGCTCTCATGGGATGCTCCATCCACCCCAGCATCTCAGCGTTCATGAGCCGTGCCTGGTACCACAAGGTACGTAGAAAAAACATAAAATCTGTGTCTATGGCTGAATCATAGAATCTCTCTGAACCAAATCGGAGGCTTCTGATTCGATTCGGAGAGATTAATGGGTCTCCTGTTTCGATTCAGATTCGGAGATTCAGCCGTTGAATCGGGCCAAACTCCTCCGAATCAAATCAGCAACCAGAACTTCTCACAGCCCTAGCATCTTCAAAGTATGGGAGTGATTCTGTGAAATTTTGTATCGTTAAGGATCCTGTGAATCCTGGCTGGAAGTGGCACGCATGCATTTCTGCTCCCTGACTCTTCTACTCCCTACATACTATAATTACAAACTTCTCTTCACTTGCTTTCCTTGCTTAGCTGTTGTGCTCTTGGAAATACCATCTCCTTCCAAGTGAAATAGTAAAGGTCCCAACAGGAGCTGGCCAAGTTTAAACATAGATAAACGCCTCCGAGAAATGTAATAAAGAGCTATAAGCAGGCCAGCCTCCCACTTAAAAGCAAATAGCAACAAAATTGCTACTGCTTGTTGCTATTGGATGGTGCATATTGGAGTGATTTAGCTGAAATCATTGCAGGAAATGTTATTATTTAAGTCCAGATGGACAAAGAAAAAACAGAGATTGAGGTGGTACAAAATCCCACAATCAGGACAGCTGTTTCTGAAGGGAACACTGGTGGAATCGTGGTTGTACACACTGGACGTACCCAGACGAGTGCAGACATTTGGTTCCCTGGGGACAACTAGCAGTAGGACACCTCGTGCCACTGCTAGTTGTCCCTGGGGAATGCCTGTGTCATGTGCCTTCTGGCACATGGCAAGTTTATCCTGGTTGGGGTAAGAGAGGCTGGGGCCAGCATAGTTGCTGGCCCCAGCAGCCTTACCTAGGGTGCTGGGTGTCAGGGAAGTTGCAGCTGTGCCACTCCTGCAGCTTGGAGCCTGGCCAGCAGCCAAAATGTGGCTCTGGCTGGCCATGCTCTGTTTTTTGGTGGCGTATGCTGTCTCCACATGCACTGCCCCACTTTTTCTGTGTGGGTTTTTTTGCCCCCTGGATTTCCCCCCACACTGCAAGATAGTAGCACGGGAAATGCCTGAATGTGTGGTATGTGGCACCGCAGACATGTCTGCGGCACCATGTACCTGCATGGCCGAGCTTGTCTGCATGCAGCCACTGACGTGATAGAAGTTACATGGAACCTCTTATCCAACAGTATTACTGTTATGATACATATTAGGAAATCCTAATCACTGGCCCCTTGGGTGTCTGTCATTTTAGGAAGTTGATACTAAATATTTTCCAGAAAGAATCTACCACAAAAGAATTGGTTCACCTGAGTTGGGAGGCAAAATGGCAGAGAGGTTTTTTTTTTAATTTAAGTGGACACACAAAAAATGTGACACAGGCACCATAATATGGTTAAATGCAGAGACAGATGAACCTTGTTCAACTTGGAGTACACACCTATATACGCAAGGTGCTCTGGGAGAGCTATAAATGTGCGGCAGTGGCTCAGTAGGTTTTAAACTTGTGGATGAAAATTTGAAGGCTATGCTGATTCCTCTACACCTTCAGGCTCCGAGGGTAACAGACTGGAAGACAGTCCCAACCTTTCTTCATCTGGGAGATATTAGAGAAGATAAGAGGATACATAGATAAAGAGCATACTCCTACACATGTATTTCGGTACATAACAACAAAAGAGAATGGCCATGTAGAACACTTCCCACATGAGATCTCATCCTAGCTGCTTCCTCAGAAGATGTCTCCGCTGTGCCCATTCAGATCAAAGCAGTGACCCAGCTACTGGAATGAACACTTCATTAATTATGAAACCATCTAGAAAAAAGTGTGATCTTATGTCCCAAAATGCCCACGGTGTGCTTTATCCAGAACAACAGCATGTAACCAATTAAAAACAGTCTCAAGAGATGGAAATCAAGTCCAGTCAGTCAAGTACTGTATTCCCTGTCTCTAACAAATGTAAAACCATATAAAGAATAAAAGGGATTTGAAGTACACAAGTCCAGGAAATACTAAAGTTCATGATACTTGGTATTGAAGAATTATCTACATTAAATATAAAAGGAATAGAACTGCGCAGGTTAAAAGATCTGCAGACTATCAAATAGCTTTTTGATTTTTTTCCTAAAGAATATTGCCTTACTAGGTGGTCTTCTAAGCCATAGTGATTAAGAATGTAAGGCTTTGATCATTTAAGCTAAGAACTGCTGATATTCCCTCCTCCTTTGCTTTAAATTCACTCTACTATTAGAGTTTGCAGAGTAGTGATGCAACTGTGCATCCATTGTGCTCTCTTGGGCAGATTCTTCTGCCAGGGCACCAATATAATTTCTAATAACAAATTTCTAAAGGGTTCCTAAGCCCTCACACATCATTTATTTGTAACTGTATATGCATTTGTATTTTAGGACCTAAGAGACCGTCTCTGGGACATTTGTGATAACAGACGGGAAGAAGCTGAGCAAGAACGTGCTGATTTCATGAATGATGGGTGGTTACCAGATCATATGGGAACAGTGATGAACCATTTCTTATCACTTATGCAGGTATGATTTAGCCAGGAGGGTCCTAGTTCTGCAGTAGATCATGTTCTACTGAGTCTTCACTTTTGTGGACATATATGACTGCAGGATCAGATCCAATATAGCAAATGACCTTTTCATCACCTTCCTCCTATGAGTGCATACAATTAAGCATTAATAGAATAAAAATAAGTAAAAGTAATAACACTGTATCACCTTGCAGACAAAGGCGATAAAGAAAAATACTAGTGCTAAGGGCAAATGTGCTGCTTTCTCATATAAAATAATTCTGGCAACCTTTTTGGAGAAGTTCTAATGCTCCCATACTTTGAAGCAGAAACTTGAAATTTAGGAGTGACCAGTCTTTGTTTCAGCTAGTTGCCTTTTGCTGTTTCTGAGAAAACCTGCTCAAGTTTGGCCAAGCTATAAACCTTGGGAAAATATCAGTTCACAAAGGCTCAGTGGAGAAACCTGAGAAATTAGCTACTATACTATCTACTCGGTTTATAAAAATAGATATTACCCTTCTCTGTCTTTTAGGAGATCTTTGTATCATATTTCAACGTATATAATCAAAATAATACTTTCCATAGATGCGGGACCAATGATGCTGCACATTAAGACCATCCTTTTCATAAACATAACTCTCTAGCACCTCAAATCATGTGTCTGCCTGTGTGTCTGGGTGCTGAGCAGAAAGATGTGTACAAGTAGCTAATAGGAAATGTGAGGCATTTGAGAGAGAGAGGAATGAGAAGCACAATCAGAACTCCTCATAATTTAGGTGTCAAACTTGGGACTGAACCCCATCATGTTAGGTGGTGGAGCTGCCCATCTGTTGCCCAATAGTCTAGTAGCTAGACCACTCACCTAAGAACTGGGAAACCTAGGGAGCCTGTACACATGTGCAGAGGCTGCTCCGATGCGCTAGAATTCCAGCGTGTCAGAGCAGACTTGATTAATCAAGTCTGTTGGAGCGTGGCAATTGCCATGCTTCAGCGGCCTCTTATGTCTTGTGTATCACAGTCTCCATGCTTAAAAATGGCATTGGGGGTGCTTTTTCTAAAGCTTGTCAAATGAGCATTAGTTCAAGCACCCCTGCCACCATTTTTAAGTGCAGGGGCACTGATACTCAAGATGCAGTGGTGCTTTAATTAGTGCGACTCTCAGAGCCGCTCAAATTAAAGTGCGGCCACCCTACCCCCAGAACACATGTATGCGACTCTCAGAGCCGCTCAAATTAAAGTGCAGCCACCCTACCCCCAGAACACATGTGAAAGTGCCCCTGGGTTCTAAGCCCTCTACAA